ACCGTGAATAATCCTTGCAACAAAATGTACATGAGCATCCGGTTCTGATCCCCGAGTACACCACTAAGGCGCCACCATACATTGTTTGCTTTCTGTGCCTTCTTTGACAGCTCCCTATAGGAATAACAAATTATGAACACTGAGAATAGTCCTTATAATATCACCCTTAAAATTTATTCTTAAGATGAACTATTATTGATCAACAGAAGTGGAGAGGAACAGCATCCAGAAATACCTGTAGGAAGTCATGACTTCTGGGTCTCTCAACAATCGCTGACGGCGAAGGACGTTGACGATGAGGAAATAGAGTGTCTGCCACAGTGTGTAGGCAGCTAGAGGCACCCAAAACAACCAATTGAGCAGGAATGTTTTGTCTTGTACCACATATGGCCACGACACTCTGGCTGCAGTTCCTTCTGGATGCATGGCCTCGAAGGTTGCTGGATTCCACCACCGAATGGTAAAGAAAACCACCCCTGCAAAATAATGCATCATGAGAACCAATTACTACCATAAGCTGGGTGCTACCAGTACCAGGTGCCAAAACTTTCCAACTTTTCAGGTCTTAGTTTGTAGACATTTTGGGGGACTACATCTGTGCCAAGGCCGACAATACAAACTAGAGGCAGGAGAAATCAATGCCGAAAGGGAAATGATCGCAATCTCTACAATCAGCTACAAAGAGAAGAGAAGAAACTCACCTGGTAAAAGATGTATAAGGACACTAACAAGTTTGTCCACAGAGTTGAAAACCAAACTACATCGCCAAACAATCAACGCCCATGCCAACGGCCCCTGCACCAGCACCATTGGGTTAGTCAAATGAACCAAAGACCTCATCCCACGCTCAAAATGGTGAAAAAGGTCCACAAGATTGTTACTTACTTCCGCAAATGAAAAGCAAACCATGAAAAACTTCTCATTCTTGGGGTACAGAAGGAGATTGACCAAGAAGATAGTGTTTGCATAGTAGCAGAAATCCTGAGATTCAATAACAGGTGAACCATAATGCAAGGTTCAGTGGCTAGAAAGAGTTTGAAGAGATCATATATCCGGATCTTCTCAGAGAAACAACAGACAATAGTGAAACAAAGTAAACCCACCTGTCCTAGACCTTAAAACAAACATCTGATTTGACGGGTCAACTTACCAGAAGATAATAGTGCCATTTCTTGTAGCGGTAGTATATCCACCGAAGAGGGACGAATATCACATAGAACAAACAATAGACGTATGGAATATCCTGCGGCCCTGAACACATTAAGAAAGGAAGCAAAACAACAGACAATCAAAACCCTCAAATGGAAAGCTTCATTATGAAGTATGTACGTTTCCATGGCTGTCCCAAAAGGTGATAACTTACTTGCACCCAAGAGATAGCAAAACCCTCCAAACCCGAACACTCCAAGAAAATGGGTCACCTGAGAATTAAATTGCACACAAACAGATAACAATGCCAATTTTTTTTCTGAAGAATTGCCCAATCCGTGACGAATCAAACGAAACAGTGAGTGGGGAAAAGTTGACGGACCTTATTGATGAACCTTTCATGCTCCTCTGCTTGTTTAGCGATCTTCACCGCCTGTTTAGCGATCTTCGCCTTGGTTTGGGTAGCCTGCTTGGACAGAATCTCCTTGGTTTGAACCACCGTCTGAAAAGTGAAAACCCCCCAAAACACGCAACAAAGGGCATATCGTCAAATTTCAACCGCAACCCAGATCCTGAAAACGAACTCCACATAATCCCAAGAGAAGAAGAGGAACAGAGAATTCGTTAATAACCTTGGTTCGATCCCTCAACCGCTGCTTCAAATCGCTGGCACCCGAATCCCCATCGTTGGTAATGACTTCTTCAACAAGCTCTCCGTCGCTGGAGGACATTTCTAGCGGGATTGCGCTGCTGCTGCTGCTTGCTTGTTGTTGTTACTTAGCTGGTTTTCTGAGCGCGAACAAAGACGGAGCAGGGAGAAACAGAGAGAGGGTACGAGAAGAAAGAAGGAGGAGGTAAAATGAGCTTTCTGATTGTGTAATTGGATTTTGGTAGCTAGCCAGGAAGCCAAGCAATGGCGTCGCCGATTATATATAGAGACCGGAAATTTGTTTAGAAGCCGTAGACCTCTTTTTCCCCGTTTTGCTAATCATCACCGTCACGCGTAATTGCGTGTAATATTGAACGCTTAAAAGAACATATTATATCCAGATTCCAGGCTTATTATTTATTTTGCTACATACCAATATTTTATTTTATTAATCTTTGATCATTGACCGCACTAAATTATAAATATGTGCTATGTGAGGAATTTTGTAATGCTTTGCAATTTGTTTTGTGGATTTGAAAAATAAAGTTTTTGGTTAAATTTAGGTAGTATAAAATTATGAATTTATGGTGGAATTGGTTTATTGTGAACTTGAATCAAACCATTGGTTGCTTGATGGATTTCATTATAGATTTTGTTGAGTTAGATTTGTGAGTATGAAACACAATTTATCTTGTTATCCCTTTTAATTTTTAATAAGCACTAAGACAAGAATAATAAACTCACTTGATGAAAGTAGATTATCTTTCCATTTATTACAAAACTTCCATGACCCCTAGCCAAACCAAACATGAATCTTTCGATTCATTCTGCTCTCACGCTCAAATTTTTTTAATTACTTATGAGAAATTCCCATAATTTTTTTTGACTGGAATGAATCTATCATCTTTTCTCTAATTCAAATTAGTATTCGAAAATATAGTAATAATAAAAAAACAATCTAAAATGAAGTACATATATAGAGAAATGGACCCAAATCACTAATGTAAGACAAAAAATTTAGAGGATTCTTCTGACCAAACAAGCAATTGTCAGTAAAGTTGTTTCTTTTTTTTTCAACTCCAAAGAATTCACTTTATGTATAGGTTATCAATTCAACTTCTTTTTGCCAAAGGTAACATAGCCTAGTACCACTCGACCAATTGAGCTCTGGATGCGGGAGGTCCTGAGTTCAATTCCCCGTGGCGCCACTTGAGCGTTCCCGACGGCACCCTTGGTATCGGAGGCGAAGCCTCCCCAATGTTGGTAGCAGAAAGCCCCGATTAGTATGCAGGATACCCCCAGTGGTTTAGTAGGCCCCGCTGTCGCTCAAGCGGCACGTGGAGCTGAGGTTCCCTGAGTTATAAAAAAGATAACTTTTTTTAAACCAAAAATGGGTTCCAATTTTTTTCGTTTTCACCATGAGTGTTACACCAACGACAATAACTATGGTTAATCAGCACCTGTGTTCTTCTTTTTATGAACTATAAAACGTAAAACAAGAAGAAAGATATCCAAGTGTTAAGAGGAGAAGATGATTCTATTGCCCTTTAGTTGTCGCTTTTGTTGTTGTACTAGAATCAAGTGCCTCTCACTCTATCTTTCTCAATTGAGATCGGACCCAAGGCATACTTTTCGTGCTGAATGTTTTGAGATTCAGGTTTGGAGAAAATAAATTGAAAGGATTAAAGGCATATTGGGAATATTAATAATAGGTGGTATAAAATAGTAAATAACCATCATGAATTTGTTGTCTTCATTCAAACATTTCTAGAGGTGATATTCCAAGTCCATGAACCCCACTGATTTGGACCTTTTAAGTCCATGGGTCTCACAAAGTTTACACCACCAAAACCTTCAAGTAAACAATGAAATCTTGCCAAGTCCATGATGGTTAAGATTTGCTAACCAAACCCATCATCACAATCCATCCAGCAAACAATCCTTTAGTTAAAATAAGGTTGTGGTTAGGAATGACAATGGGGCAGGTCTGGGGCAGGTTTCTTGGTACCCAGACCCGCCCCGTGGCAGGTTGGATTCAGGTCGGATAATTTATCACGAGGTCGCAGGTCGGGGCAGGTCGACTCAATGGGTATGCAATTTATATGAAAAATATTAGAGAAATTCGTTATTTTTATTATAAGACCAAGAAAACAAACAATATTATGATAAACGTAGTTAAATTAGGCAAGAAATTGAGATTTTCACTAATTTATAACTTTATTATAGCTCAATTATGATGTCATAAAAGAAAAATCCTGAGTAATTTGACTAAGATTACATATAATTTAGGCAAGAACAGGTCGAGAATGGGGCGGGTCAGGGCAGGTCGAGATTACATATAAGTTAGTTTTTGTCATCTTTCTTAAACTTTTGTGTGGCTAAAGTCGTGGACCAGTTAAAACAGGTTGGTTCATATGATTTCATGTTCAACCCTTAAAGATCATTCAGTCTGTACTTAACTGTCGAGGCAAAGATACCAAATCACTATCATAACTGATTTGATTGTTCTACTAGTCCATAAGTTGGTCCGGTTTGATTTTCATAACAAGCTTTTTTTTACTTAAAGTTGAATGGATGAACAAAAGCTGCAAAGTTTAATGGTATTTTAGGCCACTTTGACACTTTTAGCATAACTAGAATTTGTTGGTCCAGAGTATCCGAGAGCTCATAATAATAGAATTGATAGTAGCCTCGGACTTTAATTAGTATTAACAAAAAAATCTTATCGTATCATATGATCCGAAAAATTTTCTATCAAAATTCAAATTATTAAACCATAATCACAAGCACATTAATATCACGATTTCAACGCACATTAATTACAGAAATTCATACTAAATCAGGCATGACGGATGGAGAGAAATCGAAATTCTCATTCGTGGCAGCAGACCCGAAGCCGGAGGAGGAAGTATGTGGACCCAACTTATCTCAAGTCCCGAAACCCTATAATTTTGCTGTTGCTGTAGCTGTTGCTAAGAGTAAATTCGCCACTCCACTTGGAATATCCTCAGCACTCTGGAACCTTCGCATGGCCATATTAGTTAGGCCCAACTTGGTTGGTCCCCTTTATTTCCACCGTAATTGATCAAAAAAATTTGACATACTACAATTTCGGCACAAAATACTTATCATTGCCTTTTTCTGATAAAACATCTATACTCTAATACTACCACTAACTTTTTTAAGATTAATGTATTCTTATGCCTGAAGTGGCAAAATTAAAGGCAACAGGTGGATGTTCGTAAGGATGAAGAAAAAAAGGGAATAATTTGTACCCAGAAAAACAAACAGAAGGAAAAATGCAATAGCACTCTGTATAACATAGCCTACAAAATCTGTGAATTCACAGGAGGAAGACACCCAAAATGAAACCAGTAAACCCATCTGTGCACATTCCTACATACTAGCCTAGGAACGAAAGATGATCTGATCATTTGATCACAAGCCTTTTCTACATGAGATCTGTTAAGGCAAAACAAAAACAAAAACAAAAAAACACTACCTGGTAGAAAGGACTCTGCAGCTTCTCTCTGTGCAATGCACAACCTGCGATGGCTGCAGATCACCAGGGAGATTACGGCTACTTACTTGAACCAGCTCGATTGTTTTTTACTAGGCAAGACTAGATTCGGGTTCCTCTTATGCTGGTTTGCTGCTCCCAGTTGTTTCAATTTGTCCCCCTTAGACGATACGCTCCACAGACTATCACCCGAGCTTGCAGCTTTCGACTTCATAAACGAATTTTTACCTCCCTTGCCCATTCCATTAGCGAGCAGCCAACGAGAACCGGCCTGTTGCTGCGAAGCTGTACCCCAGGGCTTCTTCTTGTCAGGCTCAGGCTCGGTCTTCAGACCCGCGACGTGTACTTCAGAGATTTGGAACTTGGGTATTCCTTCCACTTCACCACCTGCTTTATCCTTATGTGCGGCATTCGATGTAATCGACTCATCCTCAGACTCGTCCTCGTCATTGCTATTATTCCTTAGCTCTGCCACCTTGCAGTAAATTTTCGGCTTTGGTGGGATGAAAACCCGCTCTACTTGAATAAGAGCAAGCATCGGCGTCCCTACAGGCTCAAAGTCTCTCAGAGGATCACGAAGTTGTACCATTAACGCTACAGTAAAGTTGTTCCCAAGCAAACCACACTTTTTGCCACGCTTTCTGTTGTCTCCCTTGGACCTACCACGCAGCGTGTTTAATGAGTTGGCATGGTGTGCCGCGAGTATCTTGGAAGTCCGTTCGCTTATTTGATCTTCTTCATCGCCAATGTCACCGGAGTCCAGGCGCATCCATTCGTCAAGAGTTAAGGAAAGACCCATTAACCCGTCAACATCACCATCATCATTTTCTTTTACCTCCATCAATTGCAAACCAGCAGCTCCCTCCAGACCAAGGGACCCAGAAGCATTAATACCAGCCTTGCCCTGGAGAGTTGAGATCTCTCCTATGGAGTGTGCAGAGATGTTCGAGGGTGCCTCCTCAGCCGAAACACCAGACTGTATTCTCAATCCCTCCATTGAGAGTGCTTCAATCTTATCCATAGCTAAAGGTGCAAGGTCTTCAAGAGATACATACTCTAAGCCGGAGTCATTTCCTTTTGAGCCAGAATTGGACTTAGTACTAGCGGCTCTACGTTGAGCACTTTTCCTCCCCGCAACGTTCTCTTGCCCATGTGAAGACCACTCACGCCCTGTATCATACTTCTTCTGCGGGAATGTATTCTGCCTGTGCAAGAAAGAAAAACCAAACAAAGAGAATAAGATTACTGAACCACCAACGAATCGTTTGTGTCACTCAGACAAAGGACCAGTGACAAATCCAGAGAGACAAACAAACCTTTCAGGTCCCTCTAAAGCACATGCGGCTTCCCAAGCAACTTGCCGCATTGTTTTCCCAGTGATATCCTCCAAAGGCATTAACTTATTTGCCTGCATAGACAGCTTTTCAATTCCAGCCGAAGCCAGTTGCTGGAGTATGTCTGCAACATCAGAGCCCATCTCTGCAGGCACCACAACAGGGCTAGAAACCTGCATGATCAAGCTCCCGCCAGCTTTGGCACTCTCGAAAAGTGAAGGATTCATAGAACGTACAAATCCACCATTCTTTGTTTGGAGAAATGGGCCTAAACCTTCAGCAAGAGCAGGTAATTCAAGTGGGTCGTCTGGAGATGAATCAATTTGAGCCCCAAAGGCACCACCACAATTCTTAGGTGGAGAACACTGAAATGTCTTGTCATTCAAGCCCCATTCATGCATTAAAGCCTCTGTCTCAACATCCTCTAAGATCTTGGCCCTAATCTTGCTATCCATAGGGTGAGTTCCCATGTCATTTTCTTCTTCTGCATCATCGATAAATGATGACAGATCAAACCCAGCTGTAGACTGTCCTTGCTCCATCAATCCATCATAGCTACTCTCCATCTGATCCCAATCCTCTGCATTATAGTCAAACAAAGAAAACCCACCAGCCAAGGCATCGTTCTCAAACTGCCTTAACAATAGCTCCCTTGGGGACTCAGGTTCACTCTCAGTACTCAACCCAAATGGACTTTGCTCAATTCCCAACATATCTAAAAACTCATTCGCAATATCTTCTGCATCATCCGGGTTAACTGAATTTTCATTCTTGTCTGCTTGATAGTCTGTTTCGGGTTCTCTATAGTTCTCCTTTTCATCAGAAGAGTCAAGTGCTTCAGTTTCCAATTTTGAAACACTATTTAACATGGATTCTAGTTCTTTCATAACAGATTCTTTTGAGCATAGATCGTCATCAGATTCCGAATCACAGGTCAAAGGTTCATCTTTATTATGATCATTCTTTCCTGTGCCCTCATCATGAAGATTAATACTCTCTTCAGGCACTGCCTGAAGATTGGTATCAGATCCAGTTTCTGCAGTAGGGAAGCCATCATCCTTCAACGTAAGGTCCTCGGTTGTCTTGTTCTCATTCGGCAACTCCTTCCTGTCTTCAACGAGAGAAACTTCACTATTGTCATTTTCACTTTCAGCATATGGTTTGCTAGATTCGGATACGGAAGGAATCTGCAGGTTATCAGGTATGTTTTCTCTGGCGGAAGCATCCAACTTTTCCTCTTCAGACCTCTCATTCATCATGTTTCCTGCTGCTTCAACTTCAAGTTTTTTGTGAGTTATAAATTCACGAAGATCTTTTGCCTTTGCTGGAGACCGAGATTTGGCAGTAAGCTGCGAGTTAGAAGTGGTGGTAAGACTCTCATGACGACGCAAGGCAACCCTCCCTTCAGCTTGGCCCATTTTGGGCATTGTTTTTGCTGTTGCCAGATTATTCCTTTTCATACTTGCTGACTCAGGAGCGTTCAGACCATTTCCAGTCAAGCTCTCACCAACAACTGTATAACCAAAACTCACATTCATCACTGCACCCTTAGCCTCTCCTGACAACTTATAACTTGTAGTCCACTTCCCAGAGCTTTTCTCTTCATCCAACTCCTCCAACGTGAGAGGAAGTAACCTCGTAAGATCAACCCTGTGCTTCCCCAAATCAACCTCAGGCATACCAAACACGGATGCAAACAGCAAGAAATGCTTCGCCTCATACTTTGCCGAATGATGGGGACCACTACGACTCCCGTAAACCAGACAAGTGTGTGTCAACTTCTGTTCAAAATCCGCAACACCTTCAAACACTTTCACAGGACTCGTCACCAGCTCCCCATCCCGCCTCTTCCAGTTCACACACAAGCTCACCCCATCAAAACTCGAAGGAAACCCTTCAATCGAATGGACTTGTAGCGAGAAACAACAATTGAACTTCCGGTTCTTAACCCCAGAAAGCGCCTTCAACGACGCCTTCCAGTTCCATATGGACTTCTTGTCCTTGCGCGACAAGTCTTCATTAGCCACCGCCACCCCAGCCCCAGGCTTGAGCTTCGATCTGGGATCGAGCGCAGGCGGCTTCCCAGCTGCTTTTGCTAGGCTACTAGCCGTGGGTAGTAACGTCCTCGATGGTTTATGTTTGTCAAGGTACAAAGCTTTACTTATAGTTTGCAAATCATTCAACAGATTCTCCTCCCCTGCTTCCTCCCTAGTCTTTTTCCCATTCTCCACTCTGGACAACATCATCTTCCCAACCCAAATCACATCAAAGACAGCAATCCAAAGCGCGCAAAAGTCAACACTGCAATGAAGCAAAATCAGTAAATCAAAGAAAAATGAAGAAACTCTGCTTCGAGTTCGTCCAAAAACAAGAACCAAATCTCAAAGCAATCGTCACAAATCACAATCCACCTCGATAAATCATGACAACTCAAGTTCTCAACAGGAAAACAAGAACCCAGCTATGAAAACAAGAAACAATGAAAGAACAGTGGGTTCAGATGAATTAATCGATTAATCAAAGCGGGAAGCCATGACTGACCTGGAATCAGGAAAATGCAGGGGTTCTTCCCGAACCCTAGAGAATCACCGGGGGACGAAAGGAGGCGTAAAGCTCAAATTCAAATTCAAAATTGAATAGACGACGGCGATAAGGAGAAAATGGAAGGTGGCGGTGTGGCGAAGAAGTAGAGAAGAGCGGTCGAGGAGCGGGGTTTTGGATTCCAAAAACTCTTTCTGGGAGATGGTGGGGTTACTTTCTTGATTGGGTTGGGGTTTCCCTCTCTAAATTGCCGCTGTCTGGCGTCTTCGTCTAAAGTTTCAAAACCAACTACCAGACGTTTTAGACAAGTAGACAATTGTCTTACGGACAAGAACATTTCTGATTTGAGATTTCCTTTCCAGGACACATTCCTCCCCTAATATCTCGGTTTGGTACCTCTACTTTGCTTTCTTTCGATTTACACCCTTCTAATTATTCCTTCGTCAATCATGCATCTCGGGGACAGGTTAGTAATCACCGTGGTTACTAAGGGTAAATTGGGTATGGAAAAATAAATTATATTAATTAATTTTTTGTAAATTACATTTAAGGTAGTTACAAAAATCTATTAATTAAAAATCTCTCTTTCTCTCACTTCCGTAATCTCCAGCCAGATTTCCTTTTTATATTTTTCTCAATCTTTCTGCAAAAAAAAAAAAAAAAAAAAAAACCGAAATCAGTACCAATCCATTAGACAAACACTACCACTTTGAAAAATATCAATACCATTGCAGAAATAAATCTATACCATTACACGAAAACTACCATTGCAGAAATAAATTTATATCTTTACACGAAAACTACCATTCAAGAAATAAAAACACTACCATTTCACATAACATCAATACCATTCAAGAAATAAAAACACTACCATTTCACAAAACATCAATACCATTGCAGATTTAATCACTACCAATGCGACAAAATCAATACCAATGTAACAAAATCAATACCAATGCGACAAAATCAATACCAATGCAACAAAAATAATACCAATGCGACAAAAACTATACCAATACGACAATAACACTACCACTACGAAAAAAATGACTACCATTTAAAAAAAAATGACTACTGAAAAAAAATGACTACCATTTAATGGTATTGAGCTCGACGAGGAGCGGGAACGGCGGCGTCATCGTCGACTGCGGCACCGCCATCACGCACCTCCAGACGGTGTGCAGGGGAGAGGAGGGGCGACGCCGGACTTGACTTGTTTTCCGGTGAGCTTCATCCCCTGGCCCTCGTATAGGGCTGTCTCAACAAAGAACAATTCAGTTTTAGGAGGAGGCGGGCGGAGGTGGGGGGCGGATGGTGGGGGGAGAGAGTGGAAGAGAGGGGAGGGTGGGCGGAGGTGGGGGGAGGGGAGTGGAAGAGAGGGGAGGGTGGGCGGAGGTGGGGGGAGGGGATGAGGGCGGGTGGAGGTGGGCGGAGGTGGGTGGAGGGGTGATGCCGTCGTCTAGGGTTGTATGGAGGGATGGTAGATTAGGGTTTGAGTAGCATATATAGAATAATCAGGTGTGGACTCTTTTTTTATTCCAAAATTGCCCTAAAACAAAATTAACCATAAGATTAAAAAAAGAGGAAAACAAGAAAAATGAACGACAGATAGTGATGTAGCCATGGTGGCTACTAAAATTTTAGTTGCCACCCTAACTCATCCCATGCATCTCGTGATTAGGATATGGTATAGTAATTAAAAAGTGGTAAATTGGAGACTTGGAAAGAGAGAATTTTTCAATTTTATTGTTTGGGAAATTTTTAATTTCACATGACAACCCATGTAAAGGAATCGTGATGTATCAAAGAAGAAGAAGAAGGCACACGATTGAGTGGCTTGCAAGTTGCAACCAGTCGACTATTCTCAATTAAGATGAACATTGAACTTCAGAACAAGCTAGGATTCATCATAAAATCAAACACACGAATGAACCGAAAGTAACTAAAGCGATTGAGAAAGACGCTAGTAGAAGTATGCTCATAAATAGACTGTTAAGTACTGAGTACATATGGACATAATCAATTTCCCAGGCAACGAAATGCCCCTTCCTATTGCAAATGATCATCATCACAGAGAAGAAACAGTGATGTACAATGGTTCGTGGCCTCGATTAAGCAAACGGGGGTTCTGCGATCCCAGTTGTAGACGAGAGGGGGGGATCAAGCAGTGCTGGCCATGGATTCAATTAGGATCTGGTAACCTTCTGCCACAGTCGTCTGTGTTAGGACACACTCTGCAAGTGCAGGGACATCGGAATTGAGGTCTAGAAACCTAGCCAGGAATAGCATCAGATGGAAGTCAGATATCCTCTTCACGAATGGAAGGCTCCTTGCGCGTTCGAGGTGATTCTTCAGTGCCCTCATTGTCACTTGGGTGGCCCTGTTCTCAATAGGGAATGTTGATGTAAGAGGACCCTGCAGGAGAAAATCAATACATTAGTATAATTGCTTAAAAAACATATGGAGGTTATAAGCAGTAAACAGAATGCCCTCGTTCCGATCCACTCTATAAGAAAAAATCACTAATTTAAAGTGGTGATTTCAATCAACCGAGGTTAATAGCTGTTTCTTCAGTAACCAAATGCACATCATTCCACAAACTTGTGTACCAGAAGTACCAAGTTCTTTTGAGTGCCAGCATTAAAATGTGGAAAACTAGTACCACAAAATTGCATGTGAAATCAATAACAAAGAAGGCATAGCACACTGTTCAAAATGCAAGCTTGGAATAACAAGTTGAGCTCTATGTGCACGAAACAGTGCAAGGATGACCCTTATCTTACGTTCATGGATTCATTCCATTGTCACCTATCATTGATTAATATGCATCTATATGTTGCGTCTAATTCTCATAGCGATGAAAGATTGTAGAATCATTTATTACGACTAGTTTGTTTGTATGATGTATCACAACCATATCCCTAATCATCCTACTTTTACAGTTCAATAGCAATCTAAGCCAAACCAATAACTGTCACAATGCACAATGAGTTAGCACCACAAACAACATAAAGCCAACAAAAGAAAACAGGCCTGACAAAGTAGTGGCAGTTAGCTAAGTATAGTTCATGCATACTGGAGCAAGTGACCACTAAAACCTAAAATACGGTAGCCACAGTCGTTGTTACCAGAAAAAGGAAAGCACACTGTAAATAACGAGCCAACCCTTGGTGCCAACATGTTCACCTGGCCTAGTTACAATCTAACACCATTTGCACTCACTAAACCCATCCCCACTAACGCAAGGCAGTTCTCCGAACACTGCATATGTAACATAACCTTCCCATTCGAGGACTGAGCCCAGGACAGGATCTATAAGCAAACCTAGGTTCACCACAGAATACAGGTTATTATAGCCTAAGAGGCAAACCAAGCATAACGTTTGAATTCCTCTGCAATCTCCATCATTAACCAATCAAGGCCGACACCTACCTAATAATGTTTCCAAGCTAGTCTAGAGCAGTCAGAAAAGCAAGCATAAATTGACAGTATCAGAGATTTGACATCTTTGATCAACCCTATATCATTCGTACCAACATATATAGATAAATAAAAACAAACAAACCATAGGAATGATGAAAATGAGGGGAACTTACCATGTGATCCAAAATCTTGACCACAACCAAGAAGAAATCGTTGTCGACCTCCTTGACATCTTTCACGCCCACAACAACATCCTTCTTCATGATGGATAACTTGGGATCCACATCCTGCCCAATCTCAGTCTCAAACCACCCTTCCTTGAATAGCTTGACGCACGTATCACTAAGCTGGAAGGCTTCAAAGTGAACATCCGCACCACCATCCTCGTTCACCTCCAACTTCACCACCGCAGTTACCCACTCCTTCAACTCACTCTCGGCATGGAGCTCGGCGGCCTGCAGAATCTCTCTATTAGACAAAGTGTAATCTTTCTTATCCTGCGCTATGGTCTGCGTGAATATGAACCCAACCCTCCTCATCCCCAACCCTGACGCAATAGCATCCACAGCTTTTTCTTCACCGGAATCCCTCAAAAGCAACAGAGCTTCCTCGGTCCCTTGCTGAGGCGGCTCGTATATGAAATCCACCTCCACTTTCCCCTCCTCGGAGACGGTCCCGTACATAAACCCGCCCCTCTTCACCGCGAAGGCGAGGGTCTCGTTGACATAGTGCTGGAACGCATTGGCGGAGTCTCGATCGAAGGAAACCGACTCGCAATGCGGGTTCTCCTGCCTGGAGACCCGCATCTGCTTGGCGATCAGATCGTCCATGGTCATCTTGCGGCCGAAGGATCCGGCGGGGGAGACCGCGGGCCCGGCGATGCTCCTCTCGCCCTCGTAGGCCAGAAACACGATGGAGCCGTGGGCTAGGTTGAGCGCGGAGAGCGGCGTGGCCGGGTCGGCCATGTCGGCGAGCTTGAGGAGATCGGCGGGGGATTTGGCGAGCAGGAGGTTCTGGTTGGTGGAGAGGGTTTGGTTGTGGATGGGGATTTGGAGCTGGGACTGAATTAGGGTTTTGAGGTGGCCGACGGTGGTGCAGGAGGCGTCGACGGAGACCCGCTCCAGGCCGTCCCGGCTGCGGATTCTGAGCATCATGGTTGGTTGGGCTTGGGCGAACTTCGAAGAGAAATTCGCGGCCGGCGAGAGGGGCTTTTTATCTCTTCCAAAAAAAATCTTTTGCTTCAGGATTTGGTAACCAGAGAACCAGTTCTTGGAGACTGGCGATTGAAGAAGAAAGCTTGTGATTTGTGAAGGCTTCCAGCCTATAGGCTTCTGAACTGTGTTCCAGAGAATTTTGTTTTTATTTTTATTTTAGTTTTTTTCTTTCTCCTTCGATCTTGGCTTGCTGAAGGAGGCAGACGGCAGGGACATACGCACCGTTTTATATAGGACTTCTGGTTTTTCCTTTTCCGTTTTGCAAACTGCAGAAAGTAAAAAATATATTATTACCAAAAATTCCCTTTTCGAATATAGAAACTGATTGGGATGATGTTGGGCCCGAAGGTCCATGTATGTACAAAAGGCCCATAAAATTTGTTTTGTGGCTAAAGCCTACGGGCCAGTGAGACGGCCCAGCACGTAAGGATTACTTTCCGCACCAAGTCCTAAAGATTTGATAACCATCCGTTTTCCAGCTAGGGAAGGATGCTGTTGCAGAAGGAGGCTGCTAAATTTGCAGCAGAGAACGGCTGGGACTACACAGCCTTGTATTCGAAGGTTCTCATGCTCCTTTCTAGCCCTTACAATGCTGCAAGAGGCATGAATGAATAAGAACTTGAGTCCAGTACACCACTCTTTTAGCCCCTTTCGGTTCGAAAGAATGCTAGTCTCGTAATACTCGTATCGCTGCATCAATATCTTGCCCCTTGTGGACTTCTTCTGTCCATCTCATTTCGTGCATCAGCACAATGAGTCTCTGGCATCTGTTCAATCGACTCCCCACGCTAACAATCTAACACACGACTGTATAGCTAAACTCTCACACAGTAGGCAGTTTCGCATTCTTTACGCAACAAATCTCAGTCACTCTGAACGGTTTGCAGAAATGAGGCCACTTAAGGGGATGAGACAAGAGACAGGAGCCAAGGAACTAACTACAAATACTGGAGATGTTGTTTCGCTGAGGGGAGACGAAGTGAAACGACAATCAGGATGATGATGATGATGATGATGCAGGAGGTGGGGGTGGAGAAGACAGAGCTTCTGTCCGTAGCTCTTTCACAACAGCAGCCAGTGCCTCGGGGTTCAGTCCAAGGTCGCAGAGGGCGATCAGCACCGAGAGCGTGTGGCGGTCAAGCCCCGTGTCGAGAATGTTGGACATCTGGAACGACAATTCCAGAGATTCGCGTGCTGTCTTTGCTGCTTCTGGATCCATGGATGAAATGGGAATTTTTTCGAGGGAGAACTGCAATGCAATAACCAAAGCCAAATGAAACAAACATTGTATGCTAGGTTACTTAGGTTGCAAGATATACGAACTGAACTGATATCGCTTAAGCGAAGCAGGAACGAAGAGATGGAAATGCTTTCTGAACTTGGAAACACATAACACACAGCACTGCAACTTCGTATAGTTAAGACAATTGCAGATATTTGATGGTAAAACAAAGAGTTCCCCAGTAGGCCATTTGAGGAATGATCATCCTAAAACCAATAACCCATCAGAGCCTATATCATCAGGGTATATAATCGGGCAAAACAAGAAAACCCCAACTTAAGTGGTATCAACGCCAGTACTTAAATCCCTCCATGCCCTACCATTTCTCCAAAGCCAGAAGCATCCAAGCCAAACTATAATTATGAAGAACGAAAATGGAGGTTCGGAAACAAATTGGTTACGGATCCGCTGCTACTTTCATATCCGGCGGAGAAGGAGAGCAAGAGAGAGGATGATTGCTGCGTTATAAACCCTAAACCTTGAGAGCAGATTAAATGCACAAAAGAGGAGCAGAACAAGGCACCTATCAAATAGAAATGAGCTGAAATGATGATGAGTTTGGGGCCGAGAAGCAGGAGACTGACCGAACGCCGGCGGGGTTCGATGGGGCTTTTCCGGCGTAGCAGAGCCGACCAACCCACTTCTCTTCCTCGATCTTGAGGGACGGACGCGGGCAAGCAGGGGATTCAGATTGAAGGATTCAACTGAAGAAAGCCTCATCCCAGGGATAGATTTGTATTAAATTCTGTTTTGTGGTAAATACGTCAAATTAAAAAACCAACGGGCCAAGAGACTAGATGGGCTGACTCCCACAATTCAATAACGTGATTCAGTTATGACCAAGCCCAATGGGCCACCTTCTCCTAGCGAGTTGACTCCAACTCTCCAAGTAACCTCCTTTTGCATTACAAATAGCAAACGCTGCCAGGAGTTCTGAATGAATCAAATACATGGTATTGGTATGCTTCTGTCTCAAGAAATGAACAGCAGAGTATTATGTACAAATATATGTTGTTTTGAAACCGTGATAGATTGATACATGGTATTGGTATGCTTCCGTCTCAAGAAATGCATGCGCGGAGGTTGGTGCTGAATTGTCAAATCTAAGGCTACACATATTATCAGATCAAATTCCTGTCATAACTAGTAATAAACTCTGGCCTATGCAATGCTGGTTCTCTGATATGTACACTGAACTCCTTTCCTGTATTCACCAAATCTGTACTCATATTTACAAACTGCAACGTAGGAGGTAAGTGTTGTCTTTCACCAGTCCTTCACTTGCCTCTTCAATCATCTGGCAGATATATAATAAAAATCAGAAAGACGGACAAACATACAAATGAGAATCGAGCTGAGTAACTAGGCAACAACTGATAATTGGTTCGCTACTGCACTAACCTCGAATCCCATCTTCTCATAAAGTTGAAGTGCAGGTTTTTTGTTTCTATCCACATGAACGTACATAACTTCCACACCTGCCACCGGAATCAACAATATTCACAACTTAGGCCGCATGAACTTTAATAAAGAGTCATTTCTAAGTTTATATCCTGTGATTTTAATACCTACCATTAGATTTGGCTGTTTCAATTGTAATCGACATCATGTTAGTTGCTATCCCCTGACGACGAGCAAACATCGCGACCACCAAGTTAGAGACATAACCGTATTTGTCTTCCCTTCCTTCGTCAATGTTGCAGAAGTAAGGAGCCTTTCCATATACCCCAGGGAAGATCTCTCCAGACAGCAACCAGCGGATGCTCAAGTCCAGAGTCCCTACCACACTCTTCCGTATTGTGGGTTTCACCATCACACCTTGCTTTCTCAGCTAAGAAAAGAAACAACGAGGATGACTTTGTAACGTTTTCCCCAGGGGCAGAGCTACATTGGTGCTCGGGGGAGCCCCGACAACCCGAGAATTTTGAAGATCGTATGTACATGTGTCGAGAATTTTGCAAAAAATGAATAATTTAAAGGTTCTTAATAAATCGATTCTCAGAGGAGCCATTTCAAATTCTCTGCAATGAGAGTGAAAGTAGGAATGACATTTTGGCCTTCACAATTACATTTTTTTATTCATTAAAAATACACGTACTGAGATTTGAACCATGATCACTTTAAAGAAAAGCAAGAATCATAACCAATCACACTAAGTATATTTGTTGTATCTTTTTAAACTAAAAATATATAATAGCAAGGAAGAAAAAACTCTTCCCCCATTTCAAATTCCTTGCTCCAGGAGCGTTTGTAGGAAGGGTAGAATAGAAAGTGTCAATTTTTTTCTCTTTCCTCTATGGAATGGGCCAACTTACCGTACACATGCGGATTTATACGGGTCAGGAGTGTCAATTTTTTTCTTTAAGTCATTTTATTTCTCGGTGGTGGTAAAATATATATGAAAAGGCAAAAACAATACTCATTTTTATTGCTAAAAAGAAAAAATTTAACAATAAACTAATGCATGGATTCTAATGAGCTAACAGCTAACCATAAAATAAAATAGTTGAATGAGCCTTACCTACACAGGATTTGGCCATCAAGTAAAACAAATGAACATCATGGGTTTGCTATTCTAAAACAAGCTATTTTCTCTAGCATAATATATATTGTGCTATTATTTTATATCTTAATTGCTAAAATATAATGTATTTTAAAGTTATTCAATGGTTCAACCTCGACCAACCCAATTAGTCCAATTTTTATAATTTCAAATATATATTATGTAATTATTTGATATCATAATGATTAAATTATAGTGTATTTTATAGGGAATCATTTGGTATTTGTTAGTAAAAAACTAAACAGAAAGATCTATTTGGTTATTTTTAACATTAAAATGATCCTAAACATTTTTCGTTTCCTTTCAAATTTCTATGGTTTTATTCCCAAATCAGTGATGTGCAAATAGCGAATTGCAGTCATCTCTTTTCTTTCACTATTTTTCATTTTCAAATAGAAAGTTTAAAACTAAAGAATAATTAGAGTTTGGCATGGGTCGGTCAAACATGCTGAATTTCATGTTTTGGTCCGTTTTGGTCAAGTCTAATTTATAATCACATGGTTCCCTGATACCCGATAAAAATCTCAATCCAAACCAGTTTGGCAGGTGCGTCCGTGTTTACCACCATTTTCTAGGGATACAGGAACGACGGTTTCTATCCCAAATCGTGTTGTTCGTTCTTGATTTCTTTAGATTTTATCATGGCATGACAAAAACCAGAAAGCACAATGATGACAAGATGAAAGTTTTACAAAGAAAATTAATCGGCCAACGAGCCGAGTAAAAGCTAGCAACGATTGTGAGATGCTCATTTTCCGAAAACCGGGGGGATATGAGATTTTTTATTCGATTTTCTATAAAACTTACTCCACCACATCATATTACCAGAAACAATATTGTTTCACAAGGTAACAGGTACTTGATTTTGGTTCATAAGGCTGATTTTTTATTCATTGCATCATTCATGTCTCTTTCCTGCTAAAATTCACTATTTTTATCACGTGTTTCCCAAAAAAAAACTATACAACAATAAGCTATACACCCCCATTACATTATCAAATTTCATACCTCATCTTCCTCCTGCCAACTGGCCGGGGCCAACACTAGGTTTTTAATAATAATTACTCACGAGCATTGAATTCCCCATGGAAGCTACTTCAATTTTGTCTCCTCTTTGTAATTTAATAACTACTCAAAATTTAAGATCGTATTAACTTCATATCTATCTTTTTGACTCTCCAACTTCAAAGTTCATAATAGATAAATTCATATTTGGAGCTTTTAATTCATATTTTAAGAATAATTTTGAACATATATAGATTAAATTTTCTGAATTTCTAGTATTCGCTCAACATTAAGTTGTAAATTGTAATAACAATGATTAACATATTGTACTAAATTTTTTAGTTTATATAATATTTTTAGGTTTTAATGATCTCAAATATATTTTTGGCATCCTTTTATTATAATTTTTTTTATTTTCGTGATTTCTGATGATATACGCACACAAAAAAATTGTTGCCCCCCCTCCCCCACCCCCCGACTCGCGAATCCTAGCTCCGCCCCTGGTTTTCCCTCATGATGCTATGCAAAGATATAAAACTATAGACGACGGAAGCACGTACTGTGATTATGCACTTGTACTGTTGGCCAAATGGACCAATGAATTGCTTTCTAATGGCTAGGAACTCCTGCCACCAATTAAGGAAATAGAGCCAGTAAATAGATAATTCAGTGGAATCCTTGTTTATACCAGAAGAAGCCAATTGAAGAAGAGTAAAGAAAAGTCCACAAATACCACCTGCATCATAGAAGTCCGCTTCCCCCTATGAGCAAATCTGTGTTCATTAGATATAGGCCAAAAACATTAGGGTATGCTTAATGGTCTTAACCTTAACTATGAATCATTCAATTCCAAATGCACTATGATCGAAGTTTTAAAGTGAAAGGCGATCAATTTGAACTAGCAAGTAGACAAGAACGACATGAACAAGAATCAAGAAAGAGGACCATAACAATACAGAGATTAGGAATTAGTAAAAGGCAGTGTCGATGGATTTTACCGCATGTATTCATCTAGATCCGCCCAGTGGCAAAAAGCTCGCATGAAGGCTGCCATCTGCGGGCAATTACAAGAAGCAAACGTTGGAGTCTTTGCTTAGCATCAGATTAACTGTAATGGCCCATGATCACATCATGATACTGTGGTCAAGAATCGAAACAAGAAGTGCGAGGGATAACAAGATGATTCTGAAGGCTTCCTTCCAAAAAACAAACAGAACCCAGATGAAGGAACCTCAATTGCAGCAGAACCCAGACGGGGAATCAACAGGGAAACGATGGATAGAAATAGAAAGAGGGCTTTACCCAGTATTCTTCATCAATTAAAGCCTCTCTAGCAACGAATGCCCGAACTCCATCTTGTTAATGTCCAACAACTCCTGCTCGGGTATCTGCAGGCGGTCCAGATCAGACAGCTTGGGCGCGTTCCCTTTTGGATCAAAAGCTGCGGGGTGGTGTATGCGTAGCGAAAGCTCTTCCCTCTTCTTGGTAAGGGAAGACCCATAATTCATCGAACTGAAACTCGAATGAAAGATATCCAAACAAGAACAGAATCAGGAACATCCCGAGAAAGAAAGGGGAAAAAGAAAATCGAATCAATGGTGGTCACTAATTTCCCATCCAATTCCCAGAGAGAAAAGAAGGAACAGAAAGAACCAAGCAAAGAAACAGAAAAGGAGAAGAGAAAAGTGTAGTTGGATTCGTACATTCTCCAAGAAGCGGTGACAGTGGAGAGCTTGTGAATGCTTCTGGTTATGGAGGAGGCCGCGGAGGTCAAGACCGGCGGCGCGTGAATCGGAACAACGCTAGTTAGCATGGTAACAAAAACTTCTTTGAATCGGCTTCCCGCCCAAGAATTTCGATCTTCTGAAGCGGAGAGAACAGAGGAAGAAGAAGAAAAAGAAGAAGAAGAAGAAGAAGAAGAAGAGAGGGAAAATGGCGCTTCCTTTCTGGCTGGTTGATTCGTCGCTTTCCAAATGTCCGAGACTCTCTAATTCTGTTGGTTTGTTGCGGTTATAACAGAAGGGAAAACTTATAAAAGGAAGGAAAAGGACCGTCGCTGTTCCCGCCTGCAGTGGGCCCCAACAACTTTTAATGAGGTGGAAAATAAACAATAAAAAATATATATTCTTATAATCCATTTACCTAACTATCCTGCTAATTTTTCGCATTTACTTAAACAAATTTTGGGCACTACATGCACACAAGTTTTTAAGTCATGTCTCAATAAGTCATAAAGAAGGAAAAGTGAATCATCAAAAAATAGATGATCAATCCCTTGTTTGTAGTGAGATTTTTATATATGTTATTAATGCATAAATTGTCTAAACATAATCATATATTGAAGGGCAACCATAAAAATTCACGAATACTGATCACATATGATTCTTTATTTAGTTTGACAAAGTACTTGATAGCAATAATCTGACTCGCACAGCTACAACACAGAATAATGGGAAAACTGAGTCGTTAACCAATCTTATTCATGGATTAACAATATACTTGCTTTGTATAAAATGAGACAAACAAATTGAAACTCAATCCCTAAATTGAAGTGCCATCAATGGATTTAAATATTTCGAGTGATCAAACTTGAACTCTTTTTGTAATCTCTATGACCAACCATGCAATTAACTCATTACATCTAATTTAGGAAAAACATAAACAAATTAAAAATGAAGTGAATTAGAGCATGTCATACAATTAACCCGTTACATCTAATTTAGGAAAAACCAAAACATATTGAAAATGAAGCAAGTTAGAGCATGTCAGGACGAGGAGACTACCGTTACCCACCAGTCCCGCAATAAGTCAAACAAGTAGATTGAAATCGCCTTCCCGAGAAGGTTTGACATTACGATCAGGCAAACAAAATGGTTGTCAATATATCATCAAAATATACAGGAACAATCCAAGATCAGCACAAGATCCCTATTAAAAAAAAGATCAGCACAAGATCCATTTTCTTCTCTTTTCACTTTCTTGGGAAAATAATGAAGATAGAATTATTTGCATACAAATAATAAGAAGTCAGAAACTGACCACCTATATAGTATTATATAGTGACGAGTCAAAAAGTCAAAGGTACTACATTATACCAAAGGGAGCTCGCTACTGAATTGAGCTTTCGACTACTGCCTCCTGTTTTCTAAGGTATGGCAAGTGGCAACCCGCCACAGTAAGAAGACCAGTATTGTTTCACTCGTTTCTTTTACCCTTTTTTGGTCCCAATAAGCAGCAGCAGCAGCAAACCCTCAAACACCTCCATCACATTGAGCTTTTAGTTGCTGCAACTTCAAACAGAAAAACATACACACACTTTTCAGGTCCCCCGATGAGTTCTCAAAATTCAACATCGAAACACGTCATCGCCCTTCAGAATCTGTATTGAAACAAACCGATTCGGGGGGAAGAAATGAGCACGGAGACAAGTATAGAAGCAAAGACACAATTCACTCGTGCAAGAAGTATGCTTTAAATGAAATCTCAGAGGGATAAAAAAAATTACCATGGCTGGTAACGCTTGAAGAATCAGGTTCATCATTCCTCGGAGCATATTTTTCAAGGAACTGCTGAATAGTAGCCCAGTAATGATCCCCACCAGCCAGCCAGGTATCCATGTGCATGCCGGAAGGAAAATCCACAAAAATGCATTCCTTGTTGTGAGCAGCTGCTTTGGCATAAAGCATCTGCATGTGGGACGGCGGAACCATCTCGTCTTGCAAACCCGACAGGAAAAGGATTGGTCGCTGAACCTGCAATTACATGTTACATTTATGCTCAACATTTATAGCGCAGTAGCAGGCATTGGAGAAGCTATTGCGGTTCAAAGAGATTTTTACATGGCAGATTGACAGTTACTGCATCTGAAACATAGGTTGGCATAAGCAAAGTGAACTTGGAATATCCATCCTCTCAGCGAAAAATAAAACCATGTGTGGGATTCTTTTTCAATAATGGACCACTACTCTCATTTATATAATAGCAGAATGCACAACTTCAGATGACATCGTATTTAAATGTGCGAATGCAGAAGAGTCATATTTGAAATGTCTGAGGAAGGGTGGTTCCCCAAAGTCTGCACTCACCTCGCCAATCACATCGATTGTGTTCCATGGAGAGCGTACGACAAAGTTAAGAATTTTAACACCTTTTGCACCAGATCCTCCAATCACCCACTTTAGAAAGGGGAGGAGAACTCCTGCCATATCCAGAATAGACGTAAAAGTATTTTCCAGTATAATACCAGCAACCTGAAAGGCATGGCCAAAGCAAAAAGAAAGGTCAAGAACAATGCCTCATCATCTACGACTTGCCGGCCTTAAGAAGAACAAGGGGTAGAACTAAAGTACATATTAAAAATAAAATGTCCACTGGCCATGTCTCATAAATCTCAAAGATTGCATATTGAATTCGAAGAGCTAGTAACTACTAGACACATACTACTTGATTTCACAAGCTAAACAGAACAAAACATCAAGCACGAAACCATGTGAATTTGTATATTTAAGGAGTTGGCTTATGGGTGCCATTTCTTTTTCTCCACTACCTTTTTCTTCTTCAGAAGTAGAGGAGCTCTCTAACAGCTCCAAATAATAATGTGATCCGTAAAAATGCCTTAGCCAACGCCCCTTACCAATAATGTGGCCTAACTCTATATAGATGAGCAAGCCCAAGATTCCTGATGATGTCTTTTCCAATTCTCTTAACAACGATGAACTGATAGTATGCGACAGACTGATGGCATGGGGTATCACTGTTACTGGCATCCAATTTAAACAATTCTTAACAGGAAGAAGACCGGAGTTTGAAGAGCACCAACATCAAAGTAGTTTCCCAGAGGAGACTCCGCATTAACTAGTCCTTCTCGCATTCTCAAAGTGGTTTGTTAACTAGGCTTAGACAGTGACTCAATCTTATGCAATCCATTCCTCAAATTCCAAAGCTCAAAGGAGTTTCAAATCTCAGTCTTCAAGGAACTAGGAATATTGGATATATGAAGAGAACAAAATCCTTAATGTTAAGCAACTGGGAAGAGAATATCATGGAACTTCCGTGGAACTTAAAGCAAACAAAAGCTCACTAGAAAGACTTGTAAACTAGAAAAAATGCAGCTTCATCCTATGCAAATTGATGAGCTTGACTAGCTTCAGGAGGATAATGAAAGGCCAGGATTACACACAGTCTAGGAAGAAGAATGAGGAGGAAGGGCAAAATTGATTCATAATAATGCAATAACATTTACCAGGATAATACCTTGTCGGGGTTGTTTCTCGTAAGTAAGGCTCCAACAGCACCACCCAGTGACCTGCCAAACACGACTATTCTTGAGGTATCAATATCATTTCTCTGACAGAGATGATCCAATGCAGCCTGGAAAGAAGATTTTTAAGTGAGCGGCTGCCACCATCAGACATACATAAAGCAAAAGGATAGACTACAGATGCCCCACCTGAGCATCCTTTGTAATTCCATGCTGGGAAGGAGATCCATCACTCGCTCCATAGCTATCAATTAACAGAATGAATCATATATTTTAGATCGGGCAAGTACGAGATACTGAAGACAATAAGACATGTCCATTACGTTGATACAATTGATACAAGAGAAGGAAAAAAGAGAAACTCTGACAAAAAGAAAGTCCATTGACGCATACCCACGGTAAGAAAGCATGAACACATTGCACTGCAGCTTCTGTAACATTATGCGGACCATTTCAAGACGATGAGCAATATCTGCAAGTCTCTTGTTAAGGCAATACCAATAGAACTTTCACCCATGTAGAAGAAACATAATAGTAAACACAAATTGTAGAAGCAACATAACAACAGCATACAGAAACCGTAGAAGAAACATGATAGCAAACTAAACTTGACTACAGCCGAAGCAACCTAATCCCAACTCTGACAAGGATACTTCCTGCATTCTCCTGGAAGAAAAGGATGGTTGGACCTGCAATGGCAACGAAAACCTTTCAGGATAACAAGCGAAATGCTGCAGTCAGTGAAGGTCAGAAACGACCAGTTCCCACAGCATGCAGTAAACTTCAAATTTCATCGCAAACCACGTCCGAATAAGTCCTATGTCGAAGTAAAGTTCAAGATCCCGTTCATATACAACATCCCACATGCACTCCTACATACCACCACATACGCAATTCATTCCAATTTTAACATCCGAAAATCTCAATTCAAATTGGGGAGTAGCCAAAACCTAGAATTTCAAACCTAAACCCCCCAACCCCATATCAATTCACCTACCACAGTTCGCAAGTCTTGAGCACAGCTGAAACAGAAACCCTAACCCAACGGGAAAACAGACTAGAAGAAAGGGATCCAGAGAAGGTACTAGAAGAAATAGAACATGCGATGAAGAAGGGGGGGAAATGAAAGAGAGTGGAGGAAGGAATTGCGGAATTATGACCTCTGCAGTCAGGGAAGAGCTTGATGAACCAGGCATGGAGGCGGACGCCATCGGAGGATCGGAGCCAGACGTCCTCGTAAGTGAGACGGAGGCGGGCGGGAGTAATCGGGTAGGACTTGGTGAGACCAGGGACGACGGGGACGTAGACGAGCCGCTCTTGAAAGGCAACCAGCAAGGCCATCCCGGTGAAGACTATGCCGCCGACGCCGTAGAGGAGGATGTTGAGGTACGCCACCATCTTTCCCGGCGGGGTAGTTTCCGCGTTTCGATCGGATTTGATGATGGGTAAAGGGAACGCCGAATCCCCCGAAAAAGGCAACTCTTTAGCCGTGAGGTCGCAGTTGATTTGCTATGCTGTGCTTTGGGGGCATTGGAGTACGTCAGCGCGAGTGTGGTCTGCCTCTTGTGTCACTGTGAATTTGCATTCTTTCGTTATCCTTCTTGATTTTCATTTGGTAAAAATTTAGGCGGAATACGTGTATTTGTAGAAAGTATGTATTTTGTTAATCAAACTATAAGAATACATGTACTAGAGACTAGAGAGTATATTGTCTGGTTTGTAAGACGAGTTGATTGTGTTAGAGAGTATATTATCTAATTACAAAATAACGAGAAAAAAATAAAATAGAATTTTTTCCAGTTACTATTTTTTTAATAGGGGACCGGAAATAATTTTGTTTTTTCCCGTTATTTTTTAATTTGATAAAGTAAATAATAAAGGAAATTTGAAATTTGCATTTATTTTTTGTTTGATGCTGACATGGCAGTGATTTGAACAATTGCCTAAAGGTCAATCATTTGGCCGTCCAAACCGTCCAAACAGACGATCAAACCACGCTTCTAGCCAATTGAATCTATATGTTGCACAGTTCAGATAAGAATATTAATTTATCAAACCACGAATCAAAGTTAATTTATGGTCGTAGTTCGGGCCATCCTGATAAAACTAAACATCTTACATTCTTACTTCTATTGGGTTTAGGGTAGGTATGTCCTTCACAGATTTGGGGCCTAGTGGCGACGAAACAAGCATACTCCTCACTTTGGGCTCAGACCAGATCAAAGGTAAATTGAGCTCTTTTTTTTTGCCAATAAGGTAAATTGAGCTCAAAGTAAAGAACATATCAAAAGGCCCATCAAAACGAAACAGTAGGCTACAAGGACAAATAAAGGCCCACAACGGCACAATCGCTGGCTCCGACCGGTTCCCTCTTTTTTCCCTTTCTTCTTCGTCCCAAACCTTGCCAGCCAGCTGGTTTTCTCACGATATTCACCTTCTCAAACCAAACCTTTTCCGACTCAACCCTCCTACCTGCAGCCGATCAATTGTATACGTGGAACCTGAACTCTCATTGACCTGTATCACCGTAGGTTCAATCACCAGGCGAATCAGGCTTCTATAATATTGGAGCCAGCCATCCCAATTATATTAGTAAGAGATGGGCTCAATTGGGGTCATTGGAAGTATGCAGGCACGGTTTTGGATTATGGGGACTAGTTTGTAACAAGGAAGGGAATAACTACGTCATCTTTCGAAGCCCCCTCAAATTGTGGATCTGCAACAAGAAAAGAGCGTAAACAGATTGTAGGAGGGAGGAGGAAGGAAAAAATTAGTGAGAGCAGATGGAGTATCTCTGGATCATCAAAATGGAGTATGATTTTGTTTCTGACGGATGACCAACAACGAGAAGATTGATGCTTGGGACGTAGAAGAAGTTAGGACGATGCCCAAAGTTTGTGTTGATGTTGCAATTTGATCATCACTAGGATCATAGAGATCTTGGATGCAAACTTTTTATTATTAGTCATTTAAACGTGGTAAAAATTATGTATAGAAGTTGTGAAAGAGTTTTGTAGAATGTTTGGATGTTATTTTGCCCAAACTGAAAGGCTTGGTTTATTAAATTATTTTGGTTCTACATTTTTGCTCACGTGTCAAAAAGCAGCATCCACGTCAACATAATTTGCCATGCTAGAGTCCACTGACGTTCGACTGGATAAAAAGTTAATGGTTTGGCTATTTTATTGTTTGTCGAGAGATTTGGCTTTTTTTGTTTAAAATGAAAGGTTTGACTATTATTTTGTTTTAATCCTATATTAAAATTAATGAACAAGATCATTCGCTCAAAAGTTCGAAGTAAGTCACAATAATTTGTACAAGTGTTTATATGTCATCGTTGTACAGGGGTATTGACTTGTTTAGCTCTTGATTCCTTGTAGGGATAACAATCAAACCCGTAATCATCTGTACCACGACTGCCCCGACCTAATTAAAGCTGGAAATATTGTTGCGACTAGATATGAGTAAAACCACAAAAAAGTTTGATGTGAATGAGGAGGGTATGATTTTAGCATTCCCGCCTCAGAGCCATACCCACCATGAGCATTTTTTTCATGTATAAGAAATAGTGAGATCAAATTTTAACCTCTCAACGAAAGAAGTGTAGTTCAATAATAAAAATAAGAAGAGTTTGAAATGTAACTGAGTGATCATCCACCAAACCTTAATTTCTTTCCCTTCAATTCTCCTTTCACCCATTCTCTTCTTTCTCCCTTTTTAACAAGATTGCATTAGACATTTGTTTTTAGCAAATGTGTTGAAGTCGTAGATTAATCATTTGGATAATAGTGTATTTTATTTTATAGGTTAATGGATGTTTTAGAATTGAACGCGCTAAATTAATATTAAAAGTGAATTTCATGATTTATTATGTCTATTTGCGGTAAATGATATGGTGTTGGGTTATGCACCCTTGCATAACTAGATCCACGCCCTTAATTTTGACAGGGGTCAGGAAAGTCCATATCTAAGAGGTGTGAATTAATGACTTTTGTTTTCTAGGAGTTTTTCATAAACCGCGAGGTAACAAGTCCTGCATGGTTATTGACCAGAACTGCTCCCTTTGTTTAATGTTATAATTGAAGATCTTGTTGAATTTTAAATATGGTAATGTTGGATGTACGATACGAGTATTATCCTCAAGTATCCAAAAATCGAGATACAAAACTTTCCTCATATGAGTACGAGACGGTTACGAGTTATAATATTTGAAAATAGGGATGACGATGGTGTAGACAAAAACCCATTTCCGGTGTAATCTCTGATCTCTAATACCTTGTTTATTATTTATAATAATTATCTTTCTTTTCAGGATAATCTATAGAACAGTTTAATGAATTAAGCAGAAAAAACAAGACGAACTGAAATTAAGGAGACAGAGAGGGAAAAAAGCAAAGCAAGCAGGCAGCAGCATCCCACACACTCTAAAACACTACAGTCTAGAGGTGGTAGCCTAGCCCACCCAAATCACACTGTCACCACCAAAGAGGCTCCCTCGCCTTCTTCACTCAACCATATAGCGCTGAGTCTGACGACGCTCTCTAACCATTTACCGTAGAAGAAGAAACACCCCGTGCCCGAGAAAACCGTCGCTCCCCCTTGCCGGCCGCCTACCCAGAAATGCCGACGCCGCCCTAACTGGCCGCCGCTCCGGCGAGGTAAATTCTTCTTCTTCTTCTTCTCCATCTCGATTTTCACTCCTATTCTTTGTTATTTCCAAGAATTGTATGTACGATTGGCTCAGCTTTCTTTCTAATTTCTCTTTTTTTCCCGTTCGGTGCCCTCACTTTTCTATTGTGGCAGAGATTCCCCTGATCGGAATATCTTTGAAGCAGTTGGCGCAGTGGTGGTGGTGGTGGAGACTGTCTCGTCACTCGACCCCTATCTCTCTGACACTCTCTGATTCACCATTAACTCTCTCTCTCTCTCGTCTACACTCTTCTTAACTAGAAACCCTCAATTCCCCCACTCCAATTCTCTGCTCCCCCGGGAATCGGAAAATGCTGACGTGTATCGCTCGTCCCAAGCAAGCCGGGGATGAGCCGGACGGCTCATCCGCCGCCGCCGCCGCCGCCTCCAACAACAACGGCAGCGGTTCCAACGCCAAAAACAATCAAGCAATCAAATCCCTCACATCTCAGGTTTTCTATTTTATATTCGCTCCTTCCCGTGAACGTAAACCCTAAACCTCCTCCTTTTTTTTTTCCAAAATTCAATTCGGCGTAATTCTGTTGCAGCTCCGGGACATGGCGCTGAAGGCCTCGGGAGCATACAAGCACTGCGCGCCGTGCACGACGGGGCCGACGACGACCGGCAATCACCAGAGCCGGTTCAAGACGACGACGACGGCGGACTGGGAGGCGGCGGATTCGGAGCGGTTCCGGTGGTCGCTGAAGCGGACGGGGAGCTCGAGCTCGACGACGCCGCGGACGTGGGGGAAAGAGATGGAAGCGCGGCTGAAGGTGATATCGAGCTCGAGCGGGGAAGCGACGCCGACGACGTCGGTGAACGGGAGCGGGCGGCGCGTGGAGCCGCCGATCGTGTTCGTGGAAGAGAGCGAGCCGAAAGAATGGGTGGCCCAGGTGGAGCCCGGCGTCCTGATTACCTTCGTCTCGCTTCCCAGGGGAGGCAACGATCTCAAGCGGATACGTTTCAGGTACACGCCTCTTTTTTCCTTGTCCAGATTAACGGTCTGGATTCGTTTTTTCTTCCGGTGATCTGGACGATGACCTGGCCGATCTAAAAATTTTCGTTTCTCGGTTTTGAAATCGGACGGTGGTTCGGGGTTTCCGGGGTCAAGTGTGGCCGTTGATTAACAGAGTTATTATTATGATTATGATGAGTAATAATAAGTGGGAACAGAGTGTGGTAGGAGGAGGTCAGGGGTTGGGCCCAGAAACTTTATTGATTGGTTTGGTTAGCTTCAAACTGATTGCCTTTCATTTTTTCAATTAATTAATTTATTCTTTTCATTTTTTAAACAAAACTTACAAAAGGGGTTAGGGAAGTTTGGTCTTTTGAAGTTGCGTGATTCGGTTTGATTTTTGCTTTTGATTATTGTTCGGAGTTGCTTATTTAGCTGATTGTTGTCCAGGACTCGAGCGTAGAGTGCATTAGATGTTTTAATTCGTATATTAACATGTATGTGCTGGTGCGGTTAGATCGTCTTTTTATGCATATAGTTAAATTGTTGCATTGATATATTGTCATGTTTAATGTATTGTTTGGGAACATACGGGAAGCACAATTAAATAGCGTCAGCATGCTTTGATCGGTCCATATAAACATTATAGTCAACTTCGTGTGAATACAATGATATCAAAATTGGGTGAAACTTTTTTTTTTATTTGTTAGATGAATGATTAATTATATAGATTAATTGCTTTATAACTTAGCTCCACTCTAATGATAGGCAATAATAGTATTAGTCAAGGGGAGAAAATTGTGGGGTGCAAAAGATTTTGGTAATCATATTGTTAATATTTCAAAGGTTGCGGTTGGTGAAATGTGACTCAAAAACTAATTATAAATTCTAGCATCTGGACAGACAACCTGTTTATTAAACTATATATGAATATAGCTTTCCCCTTATCTCCAATAGTATTATGGGGGTGTCTTTTTGTAGAAATAGTATTATGATGGTTGTGATGATTTTCTTATTGTGTTGCTTGAATAGATTATGGTTGTGTGATGTTGATATGTACATGATAGTTACGATGTAAGTTTCATTTAGAAAGCGATGTTGTTGGGATCTGACCTTCTGACTTTTTCGCTACTTGCTCTTAAGATGCTGCTTCGCATTTGTTTGTCTGATTGTCTCATACTACCGTATCTAATCTGTCATTAATTCAACATTAAGAAGCGAAAATCTTTGGATTAATTATTAAGCGTGACGATGGCAGCCAACAGAAGGGTTTTTAATAATACTCGATTATTACTTGATGTTCTTCTTGGAAATTTTCTTTGAGTGTAATTCTTCTGGTTGAAAAAGCATGCAAAGGTAAAAAAAAGGGTCCAAAAGTGGAACTCATTGTGCCTGCCGCATTAGTGGCTGTGGTGGGGGCAAAGCGATTTTGATAGTGTTCGGCCAAGCTTTTTCTTTGGTTTGTTTTGGACTTCACCGACCCCATTGTCCCTCTGGATGTCGGAGAGAAGAAGCTGGGCTCTCTTTCTTCCTTCTATTCTTTATTGTTTTTGGCCCTTGTTAGTTCAAAACAAAACAATTCTTCACGCCTGATTCTCGTGCCCTTTGTCACCTTGTGTGGTCAGTGGTCACCACCCAGGTTCCCCCCACCAATCATTTGTCCATTTTGGGGAGGGTTTTTGTCCAGTTGAACTTATGACCCTCCCTTCTCAAAACTGTATCTTTTGCTCCAAGACAAAAGTGTTGTTGCCCCTTTTGGTTGATCCCAGCAAAAGCTATTGGATTGAACACAGCTACAGACTAACAGTAGAAGGGTTCAGACTCTTTCTTGGTCTAAAGGGGACATTGGAAACAGTCTTATGCTTAATTGGTTCCCAAGAGTTGGTCTTTCTTGCCTGGTAGTTGATTCTAGCTCCATGCTGAAGCTGCTACATTTGGACTCAGTTTCCCCTTTGTTGTGTCCCTGTCTGGTTCCTACCTTGATTTCTTGGTTTCCCTTTTTGCATCTTTTGACTTCAAACAGATCTGTTCCCATATGAAACCCACTCATCATATAGTCTCTTTTTGTTGCTTCTTCACTGTTTCATGTAATGATGTGGCTTCCACATATTATGCTGCTTTGTTGACTAACTAATACTCCCCTTTCTTAGAAAGTAGAGTTTATTATAAGCATTTAGCGGTTCAGCATTGATTTCTTACTCTTAGAGTAGGGTCTAATAACGTGCCTAAAACATGTTTACTGAAGTAATTAGTGGCTATGTAAGCTGGCCTAGTTAGTAGTTCCATCTTTTAGGTAGCCAATGAATGATTGTTTGCTTCATTTATGAACAGAGGGTTAAAGGTGTAGGCATTTTACCTCAGTTATACACAATACTCCGGTTCATCGTGAACTGTTCTTGTGCCTCTGCGTATTAAGTCTGGCAAACCATTACGAGGAACCCTGTTAGTTTTAAATCGAAACCGTTTTTGATCCTGCTAAAGGAATGCATTCTTTGAATTTGTTTCTTTGCCTTTGAAGGCGCCGTAATTGCTATGTGTTTTTCCAGTGAAGAAGAGCTGGATAGTGCATTGCTGTTTGTGTTTTTAACTCTGTTGTCTTCCATTCTGCTCCATCTTTTCTTCAAACTCCTGACTTATTAATGCTTTACCACTACATGAATTCTAGAACATATTTTAAGAATCGATTTTTTTTTTTCTCTCTGATCAGTCGAGACACGTTCAACAAGTGGCAAGCTCAGAGATGGTGGGCGGAGAACTTTGACAAGGTCATGGAACTTTACAATGTCCAAAGGCTTAGCCGTCAAGCTTTTCCTCTTCCAACACCCCCAAGATCCGAGGACGAGGTAAAGTCTCTACTCATTCCCTTGTCAACTACACCATGGGACTTAAAATGACTTCATTCTGTTAATACTGTACTTTCTTCTGCATGATATGCTTCAGCAGAGCTCAAAGATGGAATCAGCTGAAGACAGCCCAGTCACACCACCACTAAGCAAAGAGCGGCTGCCGCGTAACTTATACCGCCCAACAGGAATGGGAGTAGTAAGCTACTCGTCCTCGGACTCGCTCGACCATCCTCATCATCCGATGCAGATCAGGCAGTACTCGGACTCCATCGGTGGCCTCACTTCCACACCAAAGCTCTCCAGCATAAGCGGGGCTGCCAAGACGGAGACATCAACTTCATCCATGGATGCATCCATGAGAAGAAGCAGCTCGTCGAGGGACGCGGATCGCTCGGGGGAGTTGTCGATCAGCAATGCCAGTGATATGATGGACAATGAATGGGTTGAGCAGGATGAACCTGGCGTGTACATCACAATTCGAGCCTTGCCCGGTGGAAAGAGGGAGCTGAGACGAGTCAGATTCAGGTAAAGCAAGCATTTTTTCTTCTTTTCTTCTTGATGCATGAATTCCCCGCCATAATCATTTCCATGTGACACCTTCATTCTACGTGCACATAATTTGATGCTCTCTTCCACTTAAAGTCTTGCCTAGGAAGAGCATAAATTCAGCATGAATCATTTGGCCTTTGGGGCCACGGTTTTACTGATAGCTTATTATGGTGGGTGGGGTGCAGCCGTGAGAAATTTGGAGAGATGCATGCGAGACTATGGTGGGAAGAGAACCGAGGTAGAATACATGAACAGTACTTATAGAGTGGAGAGAAGAACTAAACCACAGTGAAAGCACAACGAGGGGAAGTCTTCGAATGGTAAACCAGGCGGGTCTTTTTTTAACTTGGAGGTTCCAGATTTGAATTTCGATTACATCGATCAATGTTACATGCTTCGTGGAATCCTATCGGAGCATACCACTCTCTGATATCAGTACCTCAGCTGATGAAAGAATTTTCCTTACACAGATCCTTCTGAAAACAGGTGCTTCCTGTTTGTCTCTCTTCTTCTTTTTTGTTTTTGTTTCTTGGGTTCAAATGTTGATAGGGGTATTAGAACTGCTGCTTGGTATATGGTCTATGTGTTGATCAAGAAAAAAGAGCAAAGCCTTTTTATCTTTTGTCCTGTAACGTTATTTTACTTTTTACTGTTATTTTACTAGTGGTGGGTAATGAGTATCAATGGAAGAAGTTGGGTACATGGTATCTTTTCCTTTGACATAATCAGTTTTGACCAATTTCTTCTGTTGCCTGACCCAAATTAGGGCAATCGATTACAGGCGTGCTTGCTGTCTTTGTAACTGTTTGTGGTCGGCCTCTCTCCTTGACTTTGTTTCTAAACAATCAAATAATAGCAGCAGGATGAACCCTAATTTCCTGCCTCCACTTCGCTGATGATGGGTGACGAAAATTTGTGACTAATTTGGTCTCAGATTCACTGAAAACCGAAGAATTTAAGTGGGTCATTGGTGATAACTGATGAGTGACCTAGTGATCCAAATTTAAAATATTATTTTCGCTAAAATGAATCAAATATTCTCGATTTCAAAGAGTGGTATTTTTAGGCCTTTTGATGAACTAGTCTATGAAGTATGTGGGTATACTCAGATAAATTAGTATTGATATTTCAATTGTTTCTATTTGTGGCATGTTGTTTAGTAGAACACATTGAATTTCTATGATCCATCTAGCAAGTGTGCACGATATACTTTATAAACGGTAGGGTTTTTCGAAGATAATAACTGTAGTATTACACAATCACCCTTAATTGATTGAAGTGTCTCACACAATCACCCTTGTTAAATGTATAAATAGGAACTCTCTCTTAGATGTCTGGCCTCTCAAAGTCTCAACTAAATTAACCCCAAACCAGCAGCGCTCAAACCCATGGGTTTTTGACATCTTAGCTTTAGTGAGTCAGCAGTCAGCACTCGAGAACCATGTAATGGGCCAATTACATTCCTACCGCTTTGCCTCCCAAACTATTTAATTGGGCCTAGATCCACCCGGACAAAATTGCTTCACCAGATCCAGCCAATTCTTCTCCGCATCAGCTAATGAATCTGATTTACTCCTCTGCTTTTGATCAGTCGCCAATTTGAGGATCGAGATTTTAATAACTTGGCACGTTAGATGATTCGTCATTTCTACAGGCGAGTTCGGAGTGGATTTGCTAAATTTATTCACATTCTTATTTTTAATTGGTAAACTCATAACATCTTCATTCTCGGATGGGTGAAAGCAACCACGGGGCCAAAAATTTGATTCGGGGTGTCCCCTTCCAAAATTATATTAAGAAAATAATTAAAAATTAAAAATATTGCAAAATTAACTAATAAATATTCGGCTATTATAATTTATAGTGAAATACCACAATGTGTTTTCATTTTCTCGAGAAAAAATACACGTAAACATTATGGTTCTCAACAAATCTTTTTCATGTATGACAATCATTTGCGAACTAAGTGTCTATTCGGTTAAATAACTTTTTCTTAATATAGCATAAAATTGGAAACATCTTTCAACACTTATAGTTGCAACTGGTAAAATGGATACAAATTTGAGAAGTAAATAGTCCGATAAATATGATAGATTCACTTTTGTCTTCACCATAAACTAAGTTAACTCATTAATTCCTTTTAATCTAAAGAATAACTCATCATTCTTGACATAACGATAATAATTCTCAAAGTTTCGTAGAAGAAATTAGTCATAAAGGTGATCAAACGTTTTAGGATAAAATCGAGTAAGACTTATTAACTTCTCCTTGTCAAATCTTAAGGGTTGTCCCAAACATTACGAAATAACCGTGGATACGTCCTTATTCTAAACTCAAACTACTATCGGAGGTAAACAAATCCCCCCCCCCCCAAATTTAGGGATGTCTCGGGATACTCACAAACACCCATGGATCCGTCCTTGTTCTTATTCCTATCCCATCATCGCGGTTTCCAAATACCCGTGGATAATACCATCATGCAAATCAGAACCAAACTCAATTTAAAATCAATGTAATTAAGTGGAAGACACACACAATTTTTAGAGCTAGAACGTTGAACATAGATTATGTATCATAAATTAATCGTATGAGAAACTTAACAAAAATTGAAATTCTTAAGGGAAATCAAGAATAAAAAGATGGCATATATATTGATGGAATTGGAAAAGTAATATTAATGTTTTTAGCGTTATGTTATATTATAATTTAGTGAAAGATGGAAGATGTAGATATCAATGACATGTAACTGAGTGTAGCTAGTATATGAATTACATAAAAGGCGGTTATGATTACAGAGATGGGTTGGGAACCCCTAAACCCATCTCCAGCCTATAATCACCACTTTCTTTGTACATATTTGTTAGAGTAAACCCTATGTGGTATCAGTAATAAACTAATAATGCACAACAGTTTCCACCATATTCTGATTTACCAACAGTGTTATCCATACTCTCGTACTATATCCAGTCAATGTAGGAATTTTTATTGTGGATTGGGACGGTACGAGCAGAATTGAATACCCACAATTGAAAATACAATTTCCATCCCTACTTGTAGGAATTTTTATTGTTGATTGGGACGGTACGAGCAGAATCGAATACCCACGGTTTAAAATACAATTTCCATCCCTACTTGTCATGTTCTGCGTTGATCATCCCAAAGATTAATGGAGTTTGATCTCCCCATTTGATTAAATTATCTCAACAAGATTGGTAATGTTGGTACAGACTTGGGCTGAGAAATTAAGTATTGTACGATATACGGCCAGGAACATAGTGCAGTTTATGTAAAGGTTGCTGTACTGGTCAAGCCCAATCGAATGGGCCGATCAAACTTGTTGCTCTTTTCCTTCTTAGTGTTGGGCTAAGTAAGTAATGTTTAACTCAATGATCCACATAACATAAGTGTGTTTTTTGTTTTTGTTTTGATCGAACATAACTACATAAGTATGTTTACTGGAAGTTGAATAAAGTACTCAAGTCCCCAGCAAGCAGCAACAGCAAGCACAATTTAAAGTGGATCTTCTTTTCTTCTTCTCATCACGACAAAGGAAAAACTGGCAGCTTTCAGTACAAAAGAGAAAAAGATGCCCAAGTGAAAAATTAAAGCAGTAAACAATCATAAGAAATGGGGAAAATTGTGAAAAGTGAAAACCCTCTTTCATCACACTTTATCATACTTTATAGCTCACATAACCCCAACAGCAAAAAGGGAAAAGTTAGGAAACTATGGGTAAGAAAGAACTAACAACCTCTAATCTCGGAATAGAATGACGTTAATCCGAAAAATTCTATCGATTCACAGTTTAATAGGTAGTTGTTATAGAATTTACATTGAACTATTTATAGAGTCATTTTATATGTGTAAATTTAGGAAATACAACATATTATTTTAACTGAAATTTAGAGTATGGTATTATACCCGAATCCTTAATGAATAAACTCTAGTCATAATACTCTAAATTCTAAATCCTAGACAGTGTACGTATCACGTTGGATATTAGTCGACGAATCCGAACCGTCGACTATTGTTTCTACTTGAATTTATTTTTAACTATAGGATCTAGAGGTGGTTTGGATTATAGATTTCCGAAATGAGACAACTTGACACAGTCGCTTTAAAATTGCCCCATCTCGCAATCGATGCATCACTTAACAGTACTTTACCTGCCAACGGGACAACTGAAACATAATTGACCCAATTGTCGCATCCCCATTATGTGTTGTCTGATAATGCTATTTGACCCTAATCGCGCTTCAGTTTGAGACAATTGAGTCGAATGCTTCATCCCAATTCCATCACCCAAACCACCCATGAAAAATCAAGATTCATTGTATAAGAGTACCATGCGCAAACTATTCACGATCTAGATAGAGATATATGCGCGGTATTCTCCGAAACCGGACCACCACAGGATTGAGGATCTAGGATGAAAGAAGGAAGAAGCAGCAGCTGCTGGCAGCTATAGATGAATGTTGGGAGGGGACAGCACACCCTGTCAAAACACTCACACACTCACTCAACTCTCTCAACCAAAAACCAACAAACAAACAGCTTTCTTCACTACTGGTATATATAATTAACCCGCACGCTCACTCCCTCACCTTTCTCTTCTTCATTTCCTTTCATTTCCCCCCACTTTCCCTTTCCTCCTCCCTCCCACTACATCTCAAAAGATCCTCTGCAACTCACTCTGCATCTCCATTTCCTTTCCTCCCCTGCTTCCTCCCTCCACCAAAAAAAGCCATATCCGTACAAGAAAAGCAAAACACACTCCAGTATTCCCACACGCCCGATACCCCCATCAAAAGTTGAACCAAACCCTTCAGCTACACTACTGCCACTGTTCCCCTTTCTTCTTCCTTCCTCCTCCTCTCTCCCACATGCTCTACTACAACCGCTACAGCCCTGCTCTGTTTCTTACTTGTCGTTGCAGCTTTTGACATCCCCTCACCAGACACACGCACGCACGCACAATCACCATTTCTCTCCTATATAACCCTCTCTCCCTCTCTCTTTATAGCTCACTCATTCGTTCATTCACAACAGAGAGAGATCAACTCTGTCTTGTGCTTTGTACAATGACATCCCAGGAGCAATTGTGCGCCAGAACGCCACTCCATCCACAGAGAAGGAGGACTCCGTCTTTTTCCTCCTCCCTCCTCGACGCCATCTACCGCTCCATCGACAATGAAGGCGGCGAGGGAGGAAACTCGGACTCTGCTGCTGCTGCTGACACTTATCCCGTTGTTGAGAAGCAGAGTGGCGGCTCTGTTTTCCACTCTGTTTCAGGGGAGGTGGAGTATAAAGAACCGCTGTCCTCGTCGTCGTCGACAAGTCTCCGCCGGGCGATTATGGTGGAGGCGTGGATGGAAGAGAAGCAGAGTACTCCCTCCACTTCGAAATCAAGCTCCTCTCTGGGAAGCAGAAGCAGCTGCAAGAAGAGTGTTATCTTCTCGTCTACGGAAACAGAGTCTTGCTCCACCGTGAGATCCTCTGCCTCTTCCTCTTCCTGCACTCCTCTCAGGACCAAGGTGTTTGACAGGGCGGAAAGGAAGAAGAAGAAGGTCAGTAAGAAGAAGGCGGAGACTACTAGTGGTGACCCGAGTTACGAGGAAGAAGAAGAAGCAGGGTTCACTAGGACAACCAAGCTCAGAGCTCTGAAATTCTACAGCGAGCTGAAGAAAGTGAAGCAACCCATTTCCCCTGGAGGCAGAATCGCCAGCTTCCTCAACTCGATTTTCAGCCCCGGCGGTGGAGGAGGAGCTGCGAAGAAGGTGAAGATGTGCTCGGTCAGTGCCGCCATGGAAGGCGTCACTAAATCTTCTACCAATTCAAATTCTTCATCCTCTGCCTCCAAATCCTGCTTCAGCAGCAAAACCCCGCCGCCGCCGCCGCTGAATGCGATCAGATCCCTGAACCCCAGCACGAAGAAAAGATCGGTCAGGTTCTACCCGTTCACCGTGATTGTCGACGAAGATTCGAGGCCTTGCGGGCACAAGTCGATCTACGACCAGGAAGATCCCGGGCTGATGCCGTCGTCCAAGATCCTCAAAAGAATGGCGTCGTTGAAGGGTGGGAAGATCTGCAATGGGGATAGCGATCATGGGTATTACGGCAGAAGGAGTTTTCAGAAGAAGAAGAACAAGTTTGCCGCCGCCAGTACGTTCGATTACAGAGACTACATGGATGAGGAAGAAGATAGTGACGGGGAAGGGAGTTGCTCAAGCTCGGATCTTTTCGAGCTGGATCATCTCAGTGGGGTTCGGAGGTACAGCGAGGAGCTTCCGGTTTATGAAACTACCAGCTTCCAAAGGAATCGAGTCATCGCTAATGGCTTCATTCGTTAGCTTTTTTCTGGAAAAAATTTTCATTCGAATTCGTTTTCTGTGACTGTACGTAAGGGGGTTTCTGTTTCCTTTTTTCCAGAGGTAGTTCTCGTGCCAATTCGCTGATGTAAGTCGCTTTAGTATTTCGAACTGTGAAAAAAAAATCCTGACCTTAGTTTGATGCAAATGTTGAAGAACACTTTCAGCCCATTGTTCTTATTTGGTTATGAACTTATGATCATTTTCAAAAGAATTGGTGTGGAACATTATTAATTCATATTAGAAATCGAAAATCTTCCAATTGTATCATGTGTATTTACTATTTAGCATCGAGTCCGGGCATCTATACCACAATCCAGGTTAAGTTGAGATGTGGGTCACTGATTGGATTGTGTTCAACTCGACTCGCAGTGTTCCATATAGATGCTTTAGAAGAGCGTCGATGTTAGTGAACACCATCACAATGTCGTCGTCTCTAGATTACACGAGCTGCTCACCTACACGTGGGAAGTGTCAATCATTCATTTTACCGTGAGGGTAATAGGTGTGCAAACTATTTAGTTAGTAAAGGGCATTCTATCCCTTTTTGTTTTCCGTAGTATCCTGATTTTTTTTTATCTCATGTGTTTTCACTAGATTATGTATGATTGTGAGAGGCTATTCGAATCCTGAATGACTTTAAATGAAGAATAAGATGTCTTTTTTTTTATTTTTACAAAAGATAATCATATATTGATTCGCAAAAAATGTAGTTACATCCTGGAATTAAACCAGGTCTAGAAATCAAAGAAACGACTCATAGTCGGGGACGATGAAAGGGCCTTTCTAGCCACCAAATGGACTATCCTATTGCTACGCCGACCTACAAATCGCACATTAAACCCATAATGAAAGGCAAAATAATACACAATTTCTTCAAGAAAAGCCCCCATCCGGTTGTCACTAGTCAGCGCCCGATTGATCTTGTCATGATTACTTTGGCATCTCCCTCAAAGCTAACTTCCGTGAAGCCATGCTCTAGACACCAGCAAATAGCCTCCCGGAGGAAAAGCAATTCGACCACCATAGGGTTATCAATGCACGGAAACCGAACCCCATTAGCCACCAGGATCTCCCTAGCTGGGGTCATAAGCACCATCCCTCCTGCCGAGTGAGACTCACTCCGGGTAGGCCCATTTCACATGCACACCACCAAATTAGCCCCCCCCCCCCCCTAGGACTCAAGTGATGTGTCGAAGGCGTGAAGGGATGAAGAACTTGGTCCACCGTCACCAACAAACTTATCCATTCCTCAAATTGTTGGTTAAATTGGCACATTAAGACAGGGATCCCAAACTGTTTTCCCTAAAAGACAACCCAGTTACGAGATCGCCAAATCCTCCAAAGGACAACAACAACCGCCATGAGTAGCGTAGGTTAATGTATGATAGACATAATATTTTTTAGAAAAAGCGAGAAAGTATGATGAGGCAACCCTTGTCCAAGATATTCTAGCCCCGAAGGGTCCTAAAGAGCGCGGGTCACTGGGCAATAAAGAAACAGGTGTTCCATTGTTTGCGCCTCTGCCCAACAAACCGGACATCTAGGATGCACCAGACATCCTTCTCAATTAGGACTTTCGTAGTTGGTAGGATCCGGTTAAAGATTTGCCAAACAAACACCTTCAACTTAGGTGGAATATTGGCTTCCCACAAACGAATCCAGCTAGTCCTATCCATCTAACTAGCCATAACTCTCCACCAATTTTTCTGCTTATCCAATAGGACAACGAGATGGTAGGCCGATTTAACAGTGAATACCCCGTCAGTCAAGTCGTGCCAGATTAGTCTATTCGCCACATCTTGACGTGAGAGAGGAATAGCTTTTATGGCCCGACAAGTTGGCGTGCAAACCACTGGCTAAGTTTATAATCACACCATCGCCCTTCCCCTGAATAGATAACCTCCATTGCCAGAGGGTCACCCCCTTCAGGTAACACCTGGGGATTATACATTGGGGGAGAGGGATGTATTCGAGGAATCCAGTTGGAATGAAGCAAAGAAGTCGTCTGATCATTACCAATCTACCATCGTATCCCCATTTCTAATAATTGCCTGCCATAAAGGATACTCTGCCAACCCCAAGATGGGCGAGAGCGCGGTGTAGCAGTGAGGAAGGTTCCAGTAGGAAAATACTTTCCTTTATAGACATGTGATAAGAGGGAATGCAGTTAGGGCTGTCAGTCGGTCGGTTTCGGTTTAACCGAAAACCAATTTCTTGGTTATCGGTTAAACCGAGACACTGACTGCGGCTTCCGGCCACCAACAGTCCAGGAGCCTCGGTTAGCCGCAGACCGACCGATCGGTTTTCGGTTTCGACTCGGTTTAACTGGTAAACCGCAAAATGAAGGTCGGTTTGGATGTAAACGCCGGTCTGCCTGCTAACCGACCAACCTGGAAAAAAAAGTAAAATTAACTCACCACCGCAACGAAAACGAGGGTATCAGAATGGCATATGCTTCATCTCTCTCTTTCCCCCTCTTTTCATGGCTTCCTATGAAAATGGGTTATATACCTAATCAGACAGCCCTGCTCTCCCTATCTCTCTCATCTCCTTATTTCTCTCTCCACCATAACCACTACCACTCCCATAAAATTAAGATGAAAGGAAGAAAGCCAAGAGGCGGCGGGGCGACAAGGTGGAGGCGACGGGGTGGCTGGTGGAGGCGGCGACGAGCGCGCGGTTGGGCGGCGGCGAGGGTTGGAACGCGGGTGGCGAGAAGGGTTGTCTGCGCTCTGCGGCGCTGCGTCGCCTGCGCGAGAAGGGGGAAGGAGTTGGTGGATAGCGAAGGCCGAAGGAGAGGGTCTAAGGTTTGGGGGTCGTTGCGGGTCGTTTTGGAGTAAAGGAGAGAGGTCGGTTAGCCGGTTAACCGTCGGTTTCTGAACCTGGTTAGTCGGCTAGTCGAACCTCTTCCCCTCTCCTCCGACAACCGACAGACGATAAAAAGACACGGTTTTCGGTTAGCCGAAAACTGGTCGGTTCAGTTGAAACCTTCCGGTTAACTGCTAACGAAAAACCGTTCAGCCACCCCTAAATGCAGCTCATTAAGGATACACCATCCAATTTTGGCTAAGAGAGCCTGATTAAAGTGCTCAAATTGACGAAATCTCATAACCCCGTCATGCTTACTTATGCACATATTGCGCCAGGACATCCATAGAATCCTCGACTGTCCCTCTTCAACACCCCACCAGAATCTGGCCACATGCTTATCCAAGAGCCTACACAGAGATAGAGGTAACTTGAAACAGGACATGACATGCAACGGGCAAAGCTAAAGCGACAGATTTAATCAAGGTTTCCTTACCTGCCCAAGATAAAGTCCTCTGCTTCCATCCCTGTAGTCTCTCTAGCAACTTTTCCTCTAAATAGCGAAATGTAGCCATCTTAGATTGGGCTATCAGTGTAGGTAATCACAGATATTTATCATGGACCCCTACCGCCCTGACCCTCAAAATCTAGACCAAGAACTCCTGGCCCGACAATGCAATATTCTTGCTAAAGCACACTGCTGATTTAGCCAAATTCACCCTCTAGCATCAATTATAAAAAAGCATCATCAAGCTTTGAACTAGTTACATTTTATGACAAGTTATCTATGTGCAACACACTCAACGAGGGAGTGCACATGAAAATATGACACACTCACTTCGGAAGTTAGGTTAGAAAGAAAACAATCTCATTAATACGATGGCGGGTTGGTTCCTCATCAACTACATCAATAGTGGTTGAGTTAGAAATCTTAACAATAGTGATTGAGTTAGAAATCTTAATGAGGGACTAAAAAGTTTATGGTTAATTTTTTTTATAGGAACTCATGTTATTAACAATTCAGATCAAGGTCTTCATTATTGGATTATGTACGATATTATGGGCATCGCCCAAAGTCGATTAATCTAAGTGCCAGAAATAGGCGCCCTTTTAGCATCCCATTTTCAAAAAGAAAAAAAAAATTGAACCATGGTAATTGATGTGGGGTTAAAGTATTACCAATTACTCAATTTCTCATACTTATTACAAAATTTACGTATAATTGTACCTATTTTTTATTAGGGTTTTCTGTAACTGTAGATAGACACTCAGCTGCATCATTAATGACGTCTAACTTGATGCTAGCTTTCGTGAGGAAATTGATTGAAAATTAAGAATAGAATTGAAGGCGTGATTAATTACTTTAGTTAGACTGTTATTTGACTTTACTACTAACTTGTTGGTAGGAATCAGAAAAATCACTTCCACATAAGTCTCTTCAATCAAAGTATGGAAATAACAATATTTCATAATTTTGTGTTTGTGTCTCAGAAAGAAACAAGAAGAAAAAGATGATCGTACCTATGAAATTTTGGCCATGAAAGTCTTTTATTGTGAAAAAAACAAAAGTTCCCTTATGAAGGATTACTTCGTTTCAAAAAAATCAAAATTAAATTAATTAATCACAAAATAGTTTCAAAAATTAATTAAATAGATAGCCAAAAATTCAATTATGAACCACGTTTGATAATTAATCGCGACATGGAGGCCGATTATTGTCACTTCTCTCTTGGTCATCCTCACGTTGATCTAAAAGGGGAAACCACCAGAGAGGGTCCTTAGCACGATGGCCAGTGATTCATGGTTCGTGGAAAAGTCTCTTCGATCATCCTTCGTTTTAGCCGAAAAGACGAGAAGTTGTTTCCTTCGTTGAATGTTACGTTTTGCCTATTTTCTTTTGAGTGGTTAACAACCCTTGTAAGTTATTAATGGATTAATTGCTAAGCATTAGTTAATCATTTTGCCAATTTTCTATTACATTTTTTTTTTTGAACAGGAGATTCAACTACATATTCACATGATTATGTGAGATCCAATATCACAATTCACAATCATTTTACATACCAAACATTAAATAGAAATTCTGATCACATGTAAAATAAATGAGCTCTTGAAATTCATCGGATTTCAAATTCAAACTAAAACCAAAATAAATGTGAAGCAGAGACGGTGAGAAGGATTGGAGACAAGTAGGGTTCCACACAAAGGAATCTCACAAGTCAAAATATATAGCAAGATCTGACATGATATCCCCAAAATTCAAACCAACTTTATTTTGCCCTTTGTTCGAGTTGGGAAGAAGAAAGAGGAGTCTACTTTCAGCGATTACTAACTTTATATATATGTAACGAAATCATAAGATTCCATGGATGATATTATTCTGCCTTTGGGAGGCTTTGACTTACTGCTCTAATTTCAATTACCATCCATCAGACAAAAAAATTGTAGAAGACAGATCAAACTTTCATAAACATTATTTTCTTCTCCTGTTACACGGTTGGGATGATGTGATTGAAAAAAGTTTTTTAGAGAAAAAAATATCATCTAACCAATCAAAGTGCGATACCTATTAGCTTGTCACACTCTCTCTTCTCCATATTTCGTAGATATTGATTCTCGCTGTCAATATGATCGTCAAGCCAAATCACACGCTTTTATGAGTTTTTTACCACGTACTCACCATGAGGAAAAATCACTTGATAGCCACCGATTAAGTTGTGAGTTCAAATTACATGTTCGAGTAGCAATGCGAGCGAGAGCGAGAGAGAGAGAGAGATAGCAACATCACAGACAAACAGGGTAGCCCAGAGAGAGAAGGTATTAAATGCCCCTGTTTCTCAACAACCCTGCACCAATCTGTGGCTAATCTCCTTCACAAACAGAGCATCAAAGGGTGGAGTTAATTGGATTGGATCAACAGATATAGATATATAAGCTCGCTAGCCAGCCATTGGAGAATGGAGAGAGCCAGCCAGATCAGGAGATCGATTATTATCATCAAAATCAAATACATTGCAGGCAGGCAGGCAGCTGTGTGAGAACAGAAGTGACCACACCAAACATCCAGACTAAAACTGTCTCCTTACCTAGCTAATAATGCATCCACTAATTAATTAATTAATTAATTATGCATGTATGTATTTATGTGTATTGGGGTCACTCACGTACATTGCCAACCTCTGCTTACAGTTTCATCCTTTGTCGTCGTCTGCGTATTATGATCTATCTGTATGCATGCGCTCTGTAGCCCTAACTCCCCTGCATCTCTTGAGCCTACATATATCTGTCACCTCTCAAGTTCAACCACCTCTCGTACGACCAATTTGTACTATAGTATAATATTGTTAATTAACGATATTAATCATACTGGGCTGTATTGTTTGTTTGGATGTATATATATATATATATATATAGCTCCTACACACAAATAATGAAAACCATCTGTCACTTTTGAATGACAATTCGTCTATATGTGTTTAATTCTGTCATTTGTTCAACCGCATTCTCGAGCTAGCTAGCAAGCTGGCTCGCCTAGTAGATCAAACCAGTATCTCATCGCTGCTACTTCTGCGAAACTGTGTTGAGTTTTCTTGGACCACTTTATTGAAATCATACACTTCTTAGAAAGCATCGATACTCTCTAAACTATAGGTTTATGGGGGCGGATAAGCTATCGTTTAATTACGTAAATCGTCATGTTGATTTCTTCGTCTCGCATTCTCATCATTTTACATAGCATCGGGACATGAGTACTACTTTCGACCTGTCCCGCCCCCCATCCCGCTCTGTTCTTGACCCGGTCTTACCTCGATTTCTCTCAATATTTCTCCTATTTTGACCTATCGTAACTCATGTTTTTACCTAGTGATACTTTAGATATGTGTAAGACTTTGTCTTTCAATTAATCAGACTCCATTAGTTTACCTATTATCTTTTCCCCCTTCATTTATGTACTAGTTTTATTTTATTTTATCACTAAAAATAAACATTTTCTTCAAATAGTATGTAAGAATGAGTTGCCATGTCTCGGCCCGTCCAGTGCGAGTATTATCTGGCCTGACTCGCACTTGCTACGGAGTGAGCATGCGTATTGAGGTGCCCGCCTCGTCCCATTGTCATCACTACGTGAAAATTCTTATTATGATGCTCGTCATCTTAACATGTCATACATGCTCTCCAATGACGATGATGATTTCGTAAAGAAGAAGAGTTGTGTTGTTAGAGGTGTTCAAGTTGTTACCGTGACTATTAGCTGATCATTTAAGTATAAATTCTATCAACTATGGAATAAATATCACACCAACCAAATCAACACAACAACCAAATTAACCAAGCTAAAACTTAGACGATTCGGTTACTTGGTTAATTGGCCTAACCAATATAAACATTACATTACACGAAAAAAAAAACTATCCTCTTAATGCACCAATCCATAATATGAGGAAGAACTAATACTCTCATTACATAAATAAACCCCATAAAATAAAATGAAGAATTAGCTAATGAACTTATCAATTTAGGACTCCACTAATATAGATTGTGGTTGTGGGTCCGACCAGCTCGTCTTTCGTAATAAGAGGTTAATCATAGGCCACACTTAGGGGTGTTCAAATACCATGCATGATAATTATCAAATCAAATAAGCTTAAATTTTATTAACCTTAGAATATAATATCATAAACAAACCGTCCAAACTAATATAACAACCAAATTAATCAAATTATAGTTTAATTGGTTAACCAATATACCATCACATCATCATTAAGTGAGAAATTTGTTTTGTTAGTGCATCAATTGGCAATTTATATATTGAATCACACATAAAATTAAGACATAATTATAGTTAACCCTTAACATAAATATATGTAACTAATACAATTATCTTACATTTGACTATTAAGTGGTTATGCAAAGTATTAAGTATGTGTGTATAATATATTAGATATATAACTAATTATTAAACTAGTTAATTTGGTTTGATCAATTAGGAGTGTCTGAAACCAAACTAAACCAGCTAAACCAAACAAGCTACAAAATTTAACCAGACCAAACAAAATATCCAAATTAACCAAACCAAATTATCCAAATACTACTGATTAAAACGGTTACCACGATAACCACTTCGTTTGAACACTCTAGTCACACTGGAGAAGTTATAGGAAGTTGCCTTGTTCGGCATTGATTGTGATCGTAAGGAATTAGATTTGGGCTAGCCAAGAATATATTGAGAAGGTGATCCATTAATTTTTAATTGAGACATATGATATCAAACAAAACGATACAATATATGTATTGGTTAATCGGTTTGACTGGTTATCAGAGTATTTAATCATGTCAATCCAATTAAAACAAATTAGCTGATAATTTTAACCAATTAAAATTAACCATATATACAAATTAACTAAAATGCTACTGATTAAAAGATTACCATGATTTTCCATCCCTTTGAACATCCCGACACCGTAGTTAGTTGCAGAACTTTTCCCAAGTGCTCCAAACTTAAAAACAAGTCCCTAAATAGGGCCAAGCCCAGAAACGAGAACAAGATCACCTGAGAGAAACCCAAGATAAAACGGGCTCATAGTGTAGCGACGGGCCCAGCCTCCCCCGGGCCTGCCGTTGGTTCGACGACCGTTCTCTTCTCTCCCAGCTTCCGCGTCGGCCAGCGATTCCTCAACATTTCCCTCCACCGCGTTGAAACGAGTTTGGCTGGCTGGCGGATTCCACGACTGCTTTCTTTTAACAACTAGTAGTTCGTTTACCCAATTCCTTCATCCAAACATCGAATCCCTCATCTCCAATCCGATACCGATCTCTCCTCCGCACGCATAAATTCCAATCCCCATTGATCGCTAGCTCTTCACACGCCGACTCCATTCACAGCCGTTGCTTCCGCCGCCGGGTTCCTCTTCACAGCGTCGCCATGAGTTTCATCTTCGGCAAGCGAAAAACTCCCGCAGGTGATTGCTTCTCCAATCGATATCCTGAGTTGGGTCGGTGTTAATTTAGGGGTAGTTTTGTATCAAGCATTCTCAGATACATGCTTTGGTTAGAGAATTCAGATGGATTGTTTGAGGTTTATGGTCAATGGAGCTGGATGACGATGGAGGCAGGGTTTTATTTATGTTGTATCTCCAATTTATGGCTTTTTGTGGTGGTGGTGTTGTTAGAGCTTCTGCGAGAGAACAAGCGGATGCTGGACAAGTCGATTCGAGAGATTGAGAGGGAAAGGCAAGGTCTACAAACCCAAGAAAAGAAACTGATTGCAGAGATCAAGAAAAACGCCAAGCAGGGTCAAATGGTGCGGAATCAAATCCTCCTCCCTTCTCTAGTTTCAAATTGCTATCTTCATAAGTGTTAGCTAACCCTAGATCCCAACTGCTCCCTTCCTTTTTTTTTTTACTCAATTGGAGAATTGTTACAGGGTGCTGTCAAAATAATGGCCAAGGACCTTATTCGTACGAGACATCAGATCGAAAAGTTCTATAAGCTCAAGTCACAGCTCCAGGGTGTATCTCTTAGAATTCAGGTGCGTTCGATCATGGGCCTTAACCATCTCTATTGTTTCTTTTGTTCTGTGGCTTGCATAATGAATGTCCGTTATGGAGCTTCTTGGCTTGCTGCATATGTAATATGCTGGTGTCATGACATATATGATTTAAGTCAAATGCTCAGGGAATTTGAAATCGGAGGATTGTGGTTATACACATGAATCAAAACGCTTCATTTGTTTTTTTGACATGGATACCTTGAATTGAATTTCTTTGCATAATACTGTAGAAGGAAACAGCAGCAGGCCACCGCCTGTGCTACTCGATTTATTAGTAATTGTGTCATTGGCATTTACGGGTGAAAGGGACCTTCGATGTGCTAAATGCTTCTGTATAGTTAATGGGCTTGTACTATCTGCTAATGCTACCCAAACAAATATCTGTAAATGTGATTTGATATGAAACCCTGATGTGCTTGAGTTGAATAGCAACCCTGATGTGCCTGAGTTGGTATATCAACGGCATTTTGATCCTGATTGTACCTTCTTGCCTTGAATTTTCACACTGTTAATGCCACCATCTCAGAACTTTAGGATTTCTATACTTATTAAATACTGAAAGCAAATGAAAGACCACGATGATACATTAGCGTAAGGGATATATCTAATAAGGTGAACTTAAAATGGAAAATGGAACATAAACAGATCTGAACTTCTTGCTGAAGGAAAACGGACCTAGAGAAGGTAAACCAGTAGAACACATTAATGTAGCATGAACAGGAAGCCTTAAGTAATTGTTTTTAGAAACAGAAACGTATGTGAATATATGGCCATAACAAGTGGTTTATCTTTGAAATGATTGCAGACGTTGAAATCAACACAAGCTATGGGAGAAGCCATGAAAGGCGTGACAAAGGCTATGGGCCAGATGAATAAGCAGATGAACTTGCCAGCCCTACAAAAAATTATGATGGAATTCGAGAAACAGAACGAGAGGATGGAGATGGTGAGCGAGGTAATGGGAGATGCAATGGACGACGCATTGGGAGACGACGACGAGGAAGAGGAAACAGAAGAGCTAGTGAGCCAGGTTCTTGATGAGATCGGGATCAACGTCAATCAGGAGGTAAAAAATGCTGTGTCTTGGGCGTTTCCTTATAATTCACAGCTTTAGGCTTTTTGGGATGAGTTCAATCATCAGAACACATACTGACAATTTGTTTGTTTTGTGTTGGTTTTACGTATTCAGCTGGTGAATGCGCCGTCTTCGGCTGTAGCTGCACCAGCAGCAAAGGGTAAGGTTGCACAGGTAGAATCAGCAGCAGAGGGTGAAGACAGTGGGATAGATAGTGACCTACAGGCTAGGTTAGACAACTTAAGGAAGATGTAAACCCTTTTTGTTTTTCCTTGTAATATATCGATTATAGCTTCTGTGCGACGATCGCTTTAGTTCGATTCGGGGCCTGTAATATAAGCATCATGTACCTATAGCATCATAACATCACGTTTCAGAAGCAAACATTCACTTTCAAACCCCTACGTCATGGCCTTGTCTAACAAAAACATCCTCGTATTATTGTCTCAATTCACGTCAGCTGATTTTCCAAGTTGGTACTATGTAAAAGCGTTGATCTAGTCATCAGTGGATTACTTACATGGCATCTACTGGTCTGGTTGTTTCATTCTTGCAAATTTGATGGTTCATAGCATAGCATCGAGACCTCTTCGAATGGGAGCTTAATTTTCAAGAGGAGAATGTATCCAAAGTTTTCATAGCATGCATAATAGGTTTTCATAGCATAGCACACATAATTAGTCGAAAGCTACAAAGTTTATTGTGATGAAACTATGATTTAAGAGAAACGAGAAGAGGATAATGCAAGTTAGATCTAGCCATCTAGCAAATGATGACTTGATCCAAATGCGCTTGAGAAATCCAAGATCGGGTTGAAGTTTTCATAATCGAAAATTAGGAAAATTACTCACAAAACGGTGTGATGTTTAGTATATATATATATATATTTTTTTTTGCAAGGATTTAAGAAACAAGTTTTGGAGTGTAGGATTTAATATGTAAGGATTATTATCAATTTGCATTTCCTTTTATTAATATGCAAGGATTTAAAATATAGCAGCTGGTCGATGCTAAGTAAATTATTATCATATATGTGTGACAATTTTGCGTTATTTGTTGAAATTTCAAGTACTTTTGTTCTTGTTTATGAGAACACTTGTAAGTGACAATGACCCTAAACCAAACAGAGAAGTCCTAGGTTGAGTTAATATATTATCCAAAATCCATAAAATCGACATGACCCAATTAATTATGACTTATATTACATAGGGGAAAGTAGCACCCAAGTCGCCCATGTTTGTACAAATCATGTAATACCCATTCCAACGGAATGTGACCAATCCGATCATGCGGGTTAGATAAGAAATTACTTGTACTAAAATTAACTTTTGTTCTCGACTGTTGGTTTGGTGACTTTCACATTTTATCTTACTGATAGAGTCATTCACAATTATGTTTAAATTATTTTAAGTAATTTATGTTTTGAAAATTTATTTCCAAGAACATCTCATTCAAAAAATAATAGTTTTACGAATCATAATTAAGTAATTGTTTATTTCTCAACTAAGCAGTTGACATTCAATCAGTGGGTTTTAATGTTTAATTCAAAACAACACATACTTCTAAGCTAGACATTCAATTTATAATTGATGAATATTGGTTTACGGCTAAGTCTATCATATGCACATGTTCATCATTTTAGAGAAGAAGGAAATAGAAGTTTAATACTATTTATGATTTTTTTGTTATAAGAGTGATATAGGTATTAGAGATTGCTAATTTGATTTTGTGGGAATCCTTCTTCCTCTTGGGCTAAAGAGTAAGCCTATGACATGGAATATTTGCTAATAAGTTCTACTATCTCTTGAACCTAGACCTGGAGGTGACAACTGATAAGGTGTATAAGGAGGCAAAATTTGTAGTCGATTACTTAACTATCATTTTTATGAATTCAGCACACATCCTTTTGATGCGGTGACTCGGGACTAAGACAATGGATGTATCAGGATATCATGTGTCTCTCATGATTGTATTATTACAAAAATAAAATAAAAAATATAGTCCTTGCATTCACATACTAGTTACATTGAATTTGAAAATTTCTACCAACATTTATTGCGCACACATAATGGTTCAATCTCTCTAATCTATACTCGTTGTTATCGAAGGATGTTGAGGAAGTCTCATTGTACGAATTTATGTCCAAACTTGTCAATTGCGACACTCAAATTTATCATCTTACTTGATGCATGAATCAATGTTGGTTCTCCATACTTAACGTTTGGATCGTGTATACAAAATGGAATGTCTTTTTTTTATGTAAATTAATTCATCTAACGGAACGTTATTCATTAATGATGAAATAAACAAAATAAATTTTTATGTTTGTTCCAAAAACAACACCATTATTATTCATTTAGAACAACATTAAAAAGGATCAATCTTTAATACTTTAAACAAAACAAAAAATAACCCCAAAAGCAAAATATGAAAAAGGGTCTGCTATAAATCTTATGGATATGGATAATAATAAAAAAAGTGGATAACAAACCTACGGGAAGAATGGACCAAAGAACATATATTAAAAAATAAAGAAAATATAACTACAAACCGAGATTTGCGGATAAGCATTTAAAGCTTACGTGGAAGGGGTGTTTTCCTTAAACTCTTTTAATAAGACTAGCTTTTCACCCGGCCCGTTGGCCGGAGAGTTTCATTTTATCGTTGACATTAATTCAATTTATTTATATGTTTAAACTATTTTAGAACTTCTAAATTTATTATATTTTGTATTGATAAGTGAGTATGTGGTGTGTCTATATATTGAAAATTCTCAATACTTAGCACATTCACATATACTGTTTGAATTCTCTAATCATAAACCATGTCACAAAGGTATACCACGTCCATGTACAATTTTTTCTATCTTATTATGAATCCATGTTGTTCAGATGAGGACATCTTATGGAGAGTTTCTTTGTATATATAATTCATTATTGGATAAATTTCTTCATCCCAATTTAAAGTTGACACTTTGAATGTTCATAAGTTTACTGTAAGATCTTATTTGTATTTAGTCTTTTATACAATATGTATCAATTGCTAATTTCTGAAATTTAATTTGGACTAACTGAGACTCATTGTCGTTGTTTATATATTGTTTTAGAATCTAAATCCAAGATACTCACATACGAATTTTGATCTTAATATAATGCGTTAGTGTATAATTTTACAACTTGTAGAAACTCCGTTTTCTATAATTTATTTATGTTTGGTATTTGTTTAGAAATAAAAACTTCATTACTTATACTAATATATGCATTTTTTGTATTGCCACATTTATTGTCAATATATAAGCATATATATTAAAAAGAGATTAATTATTTTTCAGTGTAATTAATGCTTGTTTTTTACCGGTATTTGTAAAATGTTAAGAAAATAAGGGAAATATGAACAATTGTAAAAGAAAATAAGGGATGGAAGGACATATTATAAGTGAGAGAAAAGTTATTCTTACTTATCATCTTCATTTATCCAATGAGGTGATCTATTCTTGCTCCATTGAATTTTCATCGAATTATTTTATTTCGTAAATATATTATTATTTATGCATGTGTTTTATTGCAAAAAAAAAAAAATGTATGTGTTTCCTAAGAAAGATCATACCTCTTACGATGATTAACTTCTCTATTCTTGCTTCATAGGTCAGTGGTTGATGAACACATGATGTTTAACATAGAGTTTAGCAAAGATTCATTTAACTTTCACATGTATCATTTTTTAATGTATCTCTTTTTTCATCTTAAGATATGAAGTCAAGTTCATCAACAATCATACGAAGTCATTTTAAATTTTTTTTGATTTATAATCCTTGAAAATTTATTACTCCAAGTCTGAAAATTAAATTTCTTAACATATGACGTAAAACTTCAGTAGAGTTTGCTAAATTAACACGATCTAGAGCAAAAATGCAAAATATTAGTAATTTGAACTTAGGATAAATTGTAAATTATTGCACCTATGATTAATAATTTTTCACTTAATTAGAATGAATAAGGTTTTTGTTTAAGAAATAGATTTTATTGCTTGGTCAAGTTTCTATTCAAACGTTTCTTGTTTTCTCTCTTTAATTTTCATCGTTATTTTGTCGCGATAAAATGTTATTATGTATGTGTGTTTGTATAAATTGTTCATCAAAATGTAACATATTTGTAAATTATTGTAAAAGTGAGTTAAAAATTTACTTAGTGAGCTTTAATAAGATATTTTTTTGGTTGAGAAAAAAGTTATATGTGTGACTCAAAGACATTAGTCTATTGTTGCGTACATCTATACAATGCAAAAGTAAAAACTAAAACATAAAGGAAGTATTGGAAAAGAAAAATAAATATTAAAAAAGTTAGAGATAACAAATGTAATATATGTCACTTTTCATACATTATTTATTATTGTGTACATTGATAATACAAAAAAAAAGGATAAAAGGGAAATGAAATATTAAATGAAGAGAGAGATAGCTCCATAAATATATCAATAACTATTTTTCTTTTTGTAAAAATATTGTCCACCTTGGCAATTTGTGAGCTCTCCAAGTGCTTAGGTGGCAAACAATTACTTTTGAATTGCCATAATATTATGTATAGATAGATAGATAGATTAAAGATAAGATTAAGATTTAAGATAGGACGCTGGGATAAAGAGGGACATTTATTATTTGGCATGGCTTGCCATTAGACCCAAACACAACTGGACTTCAAAGGGTTTAACTTTGAGCTTTTTTCTATAAGGAAAGAGTCTTGTAATAACGACAAAGAGATCTTCACCACACTCAAGAAGATGAAACATCGGTATGGATCCAGACACAAGGACGAGTTCCTTAATATCTAAACGAACTGCTACGATGGATTCAAAACCGAAAATCTGTTCACCATTCACCTTGCGGAGGTTTGAGATCCGCAGCATCCTATTCGCAAACGCCACGTCGCGTCCTTCATGTTCACTGATTTAGAACCTCCATGACTTGAATGACGAGCAAATTCTTAGTTTCGAAAGATTAGGAACCCCGTGCTTATGACGGGATTCATTGTGTTTTTTACCTCGTTGATTGTGTTAAAATTAGTTTGCAGTTGTTTTAGGGAAAGAGGAGTGGAGGTTGAGCATCTTCTTGATCTCCTAGTTCTACATTCCATAAATCTACGGGAGTACAAGAAAAAGAACGAGAGAGTCAGGAGTGATTTTTCAATCATGAGAATCCAGTCTGCTATCGAGTATAAGCGCAAAAGAGGCAAGGTCGAGGAGTTTCTGAAGCTCCCTACTAATAAGATAAGTGTAGTGCTCTAGATCTTTCTTTCTTAGTAGACTATAGAGAAGATTGTTTCCTTCACAGTCTGATTAATAGAAACATTATGGGGTTTTCTTTGTAGTTCTGCATAGTTTGGTATATGAAACCCTATGGTTTCGAATCGTGAATACAATTTTTTTTTAAATAGAAAATTACAGTTAGTGTGTTTTGAGCAAGAGGTTGTATATGGCAAACATCCATTTGAAATGCTAAAGATCGAGGGAGCCCGAAGTCTACCAAGAGGACATCATGAACTTTGACAAAATCTTCGTAGGTTAGTGGCTGCGCGACGACGGTCATCTTTTTGGATGTTGGCGGTAGAGTGTTGCTTAGCCACAGTTGAGGTGATGTGAGGACCAAGGAGTGAAAGTGTGAATAAATGAGCAAAAAGCTTATGAGATTTTTCTATTCCCAAAGCCTGCGCCCTGCGGAATAATCTCAACTCTCAAGTCTGTTAATAATAGAAAATTCCTGGCCATTAGCACATAGATTTGACCTAGTCCCCTCCAACATTTCAAATCAATTCCACCATAACTGTGGTGTTCAACTGGTAGCATTCCAAATAGATTGTCGCAACCTCTGACCCAAAAAACAGTCTTGGTGATACGCTATTCCAGTAAAAACTGGATTCAGAATTCCAAACCCTAGGGTTTCATACACCTACTTACGAAGAACTACGTAGAAAAACCATAAGGTTTTAATTAGTCGTTCACCAGATTAGGAGGGAGATCTAGAAACTTGTTGTCTCTTCTATGCTAGCCGATCGTAGAGATATCCTCCCGACGCTTGAAGGGAGCAAATGGTGGACATGATGCCATCGCCGAGGACACTAGTGGTGAACCTCCACCTTGTGAATGGAGAGGAGATTTTAGGTCTTGAATCCATGGTAGCAGGTGGTGCAAGAGATTAGGATAACCTTGCTGGTGATTGGATTCGTAGTGACTTTTGATATGTCAGAGTGTGTTGAACCTATTTGGGCAGTTGTTGCAAGGAAAGACTGGAGGAGGTTGAGCAACATTTTCTTGACCTCATTGGTTTTATATTTCATAGACTTTTGTGAGTACACGAAGAAGAATAAGAAGATTGAGAGAGGCGGAAAGTGATTTTGCCTTACTAGAATTTTTGATTTCCCAGAACTGCTTACCCTGGTTGCTTTTAACCCTTCCTAGCCACTGCAGACGATAGCCAAAAGCAAGAAGCGCAAAAAAAAAAAAAAAACACTAAGCAGAGGAGGATGGGACCATCGAGCCACACGGCGTCGTTTGACGGTTTCACATCTATATCGTCTAGTTAATGGGCTTTGGGCTTACCCTTGGCCCAACAATACTTGTCAAATATACAATTCACTTGTCATTCCGTTTTTTATAGGTGCTGCCAATGCAGTTAAAATTCTTATTTTAATCTTAAAATCTTACGATTTTACCTATGGGTTATGATCCTGATTTTACAACAAAATCTTTGAACCTTAAAATCCCGATTTAGAACTATAAATCTTTAAAATCTATGATATTTACGATTTTTTACGATATCAAGCTTCATGTTAATTGGACCGAAATCAGATCGGTCAAATTGGAGTTTCCCATGAACCGAGTCAAGTTCACTTCTCTCAACCCAACATCATGAATATTATAATTAACCTTAACCGGATAGGTGACCTCAATTTCTGTTTGTGCTCTTCCTCTTCCGCATGCCGACACCGAACTCCTTTCATTCCTCGACCCTCACAATTAGCTTGGAGTTTGTTCCCCACCACCCTCGCAATTAGCCTAATCCCCCTTTCCTTGTAAGCTTTCGTTCATCTCCGAAACCTTCAGCACCACCATCCCCGAACTTTTCCATATGATAGTTATCAAGGAAATATGTTCAATGGTGAAAGTACTTCAAGTGATCCTACGAATAATGATATTACTGTTCAAGCAAATAGACAAGGATTCTATGAGGATGTGAATGATGGTAAGGGTAAGGGTGAGGATGATGATGTGTGAGTGATATTAATATTGATCCTAATAATCTTATGTGATTTTCTACTCTTAGTTATTAACTAGATTAAGTAATCCCTATGAGGTTTCAGGTTGATTATTTGTGTATTTATGTTATGTACAAAAATAAATCTATTTATTTATTTGTGTTTATTTAACAAACAAACTTATCATGGGAAATAAGTAAGTTATATGTGGTTGACTGTTATACAAGATAACGTTGTTATTACTCTATGGAGTTTTAAGTGTTCATTTTAATATGAACCTTAACATCTTACTATTTCAAGCTACGATTTTGATTTTACGTAAAGTCTTGATTTTGACTGCATGCCGCAACAGGAAATAAAATTTAATGAAAGCATAGCTGTCGTTTCTTGGGAAACAAAACTTGAAGAAAGCTTGTTTAGTTGAGAATTTTGATGAATTCTGAAATTACATTATCAAAATGAAAACTTGTTTAGTCACCTCATACAGTTTCCTTGTACTTGATTACCATAATTATAAATTTATAATATGGTAATTAGTATGATCCTTTGATTTCACGAATCTACAAACATTGAAGAAAAAGGGCTGAATTTATATTTAGACTAGACCTGAACAGATTGAATATAATGATGGTTAAATTTTTTATCCTAAAATTTCTCAAAATTTGATCCCGATATAAACCCCTACTAATAAGTAAGAATTGTAAAATCATATTGGAAGTTGTATTAGAAAAGAGAGATATGATATTTTGTGATTAAACCATGGTTTAATTATTGTTCAACCATTCATATCAATAAAATAGCTTATCAATTTGACCTCCTCTATACAAATTTTCTAGTGGAACCATTTGTATTGATTTGCAAACACCACTAAAAAGAAGGTTAAAATACTAAAACTAAACTCCGACAGAAAGATGATCGCTCATATGGTTGTCATGTCAACATCCTACCAGTTGGTCCAACCGAGTACAAATGGTACCAGCCATCAAACCGGCTGGAAAAAGCGTAATCAGTATTGATCAAATCCGATCAATGCTGATAATCGGATCAAAATCAAGAAAACCGGTCAATCACATAAAAAATGACTTTTAATAATTTCACATATGTCCTCCAAAAATAAACACCTATAATGGGATTTGAAAACAAGTACATCATGTTCACTAGTTTCAATTATACACCAATAGACATCAAGGAACTTTGTGATACATATTAACCTTATGTATTATAAAAATAATATAATATATTACATAAATCATTGCAAATATTAATAAAATTTATTTTACATAATTTTGTTTGTACATATCTAATTGTTTTATATTAGTTACCAATTCTTAATTATAAATCATGTAAATTAACTTTTTCCATTGTTTCTTCTTAACTAATTTATTTGCATTGATAATGTTTCACTTTTCTCATGTATTTTATTAAAACCAACATAATGTCATAAATCATTTGTATCATTCCACTAGCAAAATTGTAAACCGGTTGGACAACCTTCGAATCACTCTCTAGCTCTCTGTCTCTGCCCTCTGCATCTGAAAACCAAACCGGCCCGACCCCACTGCTGCCTCCAGCATCATCACAACACGTTCAAGAGCAAACACTCGCACTTTCAAGTTTCTAACTTCGAACATCCAAATTCATGATCTAAATCTAAGACCAACGATCAATCTGGAGGGAGAAGAAGAAGATGGCGACGGAGAGGCACGGTCATCCGGCTTCCACTTCTCGTGAGGACGATGCTCTGTCAGTCCTCCTCAATTCCGTCTTCTCTTTTAACACCTCACTCGCTCTGTCCAAATTCTCTCATGAAATTCTTGCTGTGTTTAGGTTCCTAGACATACTCCACGAAGCTCCTTTGTTCGGTCACCGCAAATCCAGATGTCTCGTCGGCGCTATTCTCTACTCCCTTCTACTGGCAAGTTCAACCGCGATCCTATCTCTCAATTTTCCTTTCCTCTGTTGGTGGGTTCGGTTGATTTTTAAAGGTGGCGGAAAGGAAACCTGAGGCATCGTTACCATCAATGATTGTTGTTGGTGTTTTTTTGGTTTAGGCAGGTTATGCTGTTCTTGGTGCTGCGGCTCCCTATGTCTTCCACTCTATCAAGAATTGGGTTCCTTCCCTGCTCTGCAGTTGTGATGTTGTTCTTCTGATCCTCACAGGTCTAGCTTTCCCCCACTCACTCACTAGTCACTACTCGGTTCTTTCCTTATCTGGAAGTTTGGATTTTTCTTCTTCTTCTTTGCTGATGATGGTCTAATGTGATTAATCAACCGCCGTGTCTGATTCGTCAATTGCACCCATCTCATTGCTAAGCTTTATGCAATTCTCTTGATGTATGATAATGTGGCCTTTAAAGCAGTCTTAGAGTTGGTGGTTTTCCTTGTTTTAGCTTAAGAAGGGAATGCTTCTACCTTTGACTTGACAAACTGATTTTTTTTACTCTATCAGGCATATTCCAGCAATATTTTGTTTCTCAAGTCCAGAAAATTCGGCTCCAGGTACTCTTAACACATTCCCCTTCACCAACTCGGGGTAAAATGTAGTTCAGTCATTTCGTGTTTATGTTTGGGATGCTGGTTTTTCTGTTGATTAACAATAAGCCAGAATGGATTCACTGTGTCCTGGATCCTAAATAATATAATTGCAATTATACACTTCTGATTTGAGTAATTAGGAATTTGGTTCAATTCATTAGCAAACCGGAAACTACGTCAAAAATGAAGTCGGGAACTTGGAACATCCTGTTAGAAGTAGAGATCCTACCAGCCGTTAAGACTAAACATGTTTCGGAGTGTTTGACTGGTTGGTTCCTCAATTTTGAAGCCAAAGAAGTTCGCTAACAGAATTAGTCTTTTACATCAATTCAATTTGAAGTTTGATGGGCTGCAGAATCATGGTTGCTCATTGTTTTGTAGGGTTACTATAGTTTCAGCCAGAAGTTGAAACATATTGTCCGCCTTCCATTTGCTATCACTGCTTATGGTAAGTAGAAATATTTAATTTGTTACTTATCCTACCACGAGGTTGAATGTGAAGAACATAATTGCAACTACAATGTTCTTCTCGTGTAAAACTTTTTATTTGGGATTTTCCTCCCTCTGGAAGATGGGATGTGGAAAGTGTTAGATCTATAGTAATGCCTTAATTCTGGTTTTCCTCCCCTGAGTTTAGTAGTTTGATAGGTTTCTTATATCTATAGCCTTCTTCTGTGCTACTCCTAATGTTACGGTCAAATGTATAATTCACACTAAGCTGTTTGTCTGAATTATGTTCAATTTTAATAATTTTAGGAACTGGTTTGATGGTGCTGGTCATTGTATGGGATCCTCAAATTAAATTCCTTACAATCCCTGCTTTACTGAGGTATGCCTTATCTATCTTCAATTTTGAGTATAATACTTAATCTGCTTGTCACAAGGACATATGTTTTCCCCTACTTTCATGACTATAAGGTTTTTCACTCTCATGTAGAGATATTGTGCAACTTACTGAGAACATCCTGCCTTCACTGCAGAATTATCATGTTGGCTGAAGCAGTATGTGCTGCATCCTTTATGAGTGTTTATATCGGTTAGTACATGCTGCTAATTTTTTGCCGAACTCAGCCCTTAACTCTGTATGTCCTTGATTGGTCCTCCGGGATAGTTAGCCATATTCCATGTTCTAGTGTGAGACACTGTTGAGCTTTATATTGATAACCTTTGTGGGTATTGTTTCTTTCTGTTATCTAGGTGAATCTCAAGCAGCAACACTTGTTTTTATTGAATTACAACTTATTAGGAGGGGAAGAGAAAGAGGTTAATTAACGGGAAAACACACTGAAATGAGCAAGCCATTTGCTCTCTGCAGCCACTATGGAATTTGATTACACTAGCAATAGTTTTTTTTTTTTAATTTTTGTAATTGTGAATAATAGAATTAGAATCTACTGAGTTTCTTACATCCAAGTCTCATCCCAACTCTTTCCTTGATATTCTTCGTGTATGTTTGGAGCTTGCAGGCTATCTGCATCAGTACAATTCGATAAACTCTCAGCCTGATATTTTGAAGTCGTTGTATTCTCCACTTCAACAATCAAGCCCTTTAGAAGGTTTGAGGTAGCCATTCAGTTGCTTTAGATTAGCCTTAATGAAATGCCTTATCAGCACCATGCAAGTCTTTGGTGAAGTTGATGCAAGTTTTGCAAATGCTTAACCTCGATGATTATGTGGTCTGTAATCTGTATAGGTGCCTAGTTGTTTGGCCATGTTGCAGTTGTGGAACCAACTTGATTAGAATTTCAAACTTCATTACACGAATTCCTTACAATGAGAGTTGGGGACCAATTTCTTCAACAGGTACCAAGAAGGTGGTAGACTTTCTGATCAGCAAATGGCCCTGTTGCAATATCAACGTGAGAATCTACATTTTTTGAGTGAAGAGGTGGGTGTTACTGAAACCCTGAAATCGTTGGTAGATTATCTTTGCACCTTAGTTAGTGGCCCCCTGTTGGGCTGGTGTAATTAGTGTGATATAGTCAGTTGGTAGTTTAAATTCCTCTCCATCCCAAGACACTTCTCATTAAAAGATTATGATGATTCAGGTTCTACGCTTGCAAGAATGTTTAAGCAAATATGAGCAATCTAGCGATGGGAGCACACCTCAGGTGATAACTATCCTGATTCCTTGTTGATTTCCTGGAGTGATTTGAATGGATGTATTCATTTTTTTAGATGGCAATTAATGTACTTTCCAGGTTGACGTTGCACATTTGTTGGGTGCTCGTGAACAGGAGTTAAGGACGCTCACTGCCGAGGTAATGGATCATCAATATAGCAAGTGCTCTACTAGTTTAGTGGTTTGCATCTCTGTCAGTTTATAACTCTGGTCACTAAACAATCGCTCCCCCAGATGAATCAACTACAGTCTGAGCTAAAGCTTGCTCGGTCTGTGATAGCTGATCGGGAGTCCGAGTTCCAGAGGGTACGAGCTGCAAATAATCAGGCACGGATTTATCCTTCATAGCAATTAAGTAAAACATTTTTTTAATCTTAATTCACATCATGCTCATCTTGATTCTTATTTCATACCCAAATTACTCAAAAAACAGTACGTGGAAGAGAACGAGCGGCTGAGAGCTATATTAGGGGAATGGAGCACTCGTGCTGCCAAGGTAATTCCTTAAATTTTATTCATTTGCAGAAGTTATACTTAAAAGACGGTAGTGCTTCCAAATTAAGTAAATTTGGCTTCCCTAAACCAACTGCTACCTGTGAATGTTTTGCTAGCTTGAGCGAGCTCTGGAGGCCGAGCGGATATCCAGCCTAGAAATGCACAAGAAGCTATCATCCTCTCCCAGAAATCAATTGAATCAGCATGGTTTATAACGTGCCCTATTACTGAACGAACAAGTTACAATCATCCTCGTGTGATGAACTCGATGTGGTTTACGGAACTAAAAGCACTTGTACATAGCCAAACATTGTTAATGCACTTTCAGATAACCATTTGTTTGTTCAATGCAAATACTCATTACCAGAAGAGCTGTTTGCTGTCTTTACAACTCTCAACTAGCTGGAAGCCTCCCTCGATAGGGTTACAACTTACAAGTTACAAATATCCTAATAAAGTTTGAAACATTAAAATGTGGCTTTACAATCGGGAAACATTGTTCTCCTCACCCAAAAATAGACAACCAAAGACGTAATTGTAGAAGTAGCGTCCTTTGACTACATTTTTCGTTCCAAATAGATTCTCTGTATCATACTTGCAAGCTCTTGTACAGTCAGGACAGTAAGTGACCTGCATTCCATGGGGAAACCAACTTGAGCCATAGGGCAATCTACGCATTTCAATCTCTATATATGCATACCAAAAGGAAAACATAAGATTGATGATAGGAACTAACCTCCAATAACTTGGGCTGAAAATTAGTATCGAGCATTACATCTACGCCGTAAATTGCCCTGGATGTTGGACTGTGCATCTCAGGTTGGACTGTGGCAGCCGCCTCAAAGACAGATTTTATCATCATCCTTACTCTCTCATGGATATCCAACCACTGAACTGCAGGAGCGCAGAATAGTTCAAATATGTCAAGTCTCAACATCTCAATCCCATAACTGTGCCTAAATCTTTCTTAATGGCAAGAGAGAAATCTCCATACCATTATGTTCCTGTTCGAATTCCTTCACGAACTCAGGCGTGTTCTTGTGGTTTATCGTCCCTCGGTAGTTCTACAGGCCATTTAGTTGATAAATCACCATAAAGGAATTAAAAAATTCACATGGTAATGATGCAAAGCTTTGACTTTGCCTCAGCATTCAGCTTCAACATTTGTTTTTTGTTTCCCGATGAATAGCTTCACATGAACATAAATAAATTGGAAGTCTTACACTTGGAACTTACCATGACAGTAAAATGAGTCTCATAGACGAACAAGCTTCGTTTCTCTAGTGTATACGGGTTATTTGCTAGCCTAACCTGAAAAATAGAATCAAAACAAACATTTAAATACAGGTATTTCACAGAAGGAGTTTAAATGCCAGTCAAAGCACATTGAGAACATTAACTGGGTAGCCCCTGCCATAAAAAATGATCACCAAAAGATAGTCGCATCTCAAAATAAGTGGAATTACTCACCCAGAAAACATCTGCGAGAAACAATTCCAGAGGGTTTATACTGCGAACCAGGACAACGTAACGAAGATCGAATTTCTTCCCCTGAAACAGGGCTGGGTGCTCGATGTATTTCTGGCATATTTTAGGTCCGGTCTCCATCATACGGATAATGGCAGACAGATTATCAGTCACAGTTGTATCAATGGTCCGTGCCATGTTCCATGGTTTCAAGATCCACAGGTTGTTCGTCCCATCTTTTTCACGGCTAAAGTAGTCACCTATAAGTGGAGACAACTGGGTTTCTAGATTATACGTGGGCTGCAACCATTCAGGAGATCCATGTGCCTGTTTGAAAGATGATTTTAAGCGTGCATGATTAGAAAGCTTGCTTGTCACAATTTTATGTCAATCTAAGGGAAGTGTTAGGTTTTTTATTTTAGAAAGTGCTACTGCTTTCACTTGCACAAACAATGGTACACATTGTTTTACTTACCTTCTGAACAGTATCGGCCAAATGATGTTTCATGACGAGACATGCCTCGAAGGGGAATTGATTTATTACTTGGCGCTCTGTGATTCCAGTTGCTTTCTTCACCTCCTCATCTACTTGTGTACTTGTCCATATAATATCAGCATCCTTCATTTCAGATGCTGTAAGCAAAATAACACAAAGAATATCAGAGATAATTTTAAACACCAGGAATTTCAACAGGATGCAAGTCTTTTCCCCCAAGAAAACAAACAGAAATGATGAGGATAGAACCATAAAAAAAAATGATGAGGATAGAAGAAGTTTTTGAGTCTGTGTCAATAAAGTGAACCCAATCACTTTGAACCCTCGATGCTCAAACTGTATGATAACTCAGGATAACCTATCAACGAGAATACAGGCCATATAGTAGATGCTTGTGTTCAAAAGGAGAAACCAAAAATTACTCGCTCATAAGTCAGTGAGGAAGCAGGAATAGGTTACCAACTGAGCTGACTAAACTACAAATTCACAGATACAGAATGACGGATCAGAGGAATTTGAGAAAAGATGGAACATGACATACTGATTACAAATTCCAGACGGGTCAGAAACTCCTCTACTTGAGGTATATCAGTGTAGACATGTAAAGGTTCTCCATCACTACGACACAAGCTCCGGACAAAAGACGACTTCCCTAGAGAAGAAGGTAATCTCTTTGATTGCAGATTCTGACAGAATTTCTTGTACTCCTTCAGAGAGAAGAATGCAATCAATAATAGGTCACGGGACAAGACTAATCCAGTATTCTATGAAGCCAAATCAGAAAACTTTCGAAGACAAAAATATAATATATAGATTCAATACTTGAAGAAAGTAATTCTGTGGTGTATGGAAATATGCTGTTAGCCTTGCAGAACGTTGCTTGTCCTCTCCAATCCCAAATAAGAAATCACGAGTACACTCATCTCCACTATCAACATTACGGATTGACCATAGTATGGAGTAGCTGAAAAGAAAGAAGAAATGATGTTGACTAGGTCCACATTACTGAGAAGCAGAAAGAAGCTTAAAAAATTTCGTAACTAAGCCTATAACTAATATTGCACTTCCACGAAGTTCAATACTTTCCGTAAGGAAAGAATGAAAAAAAAAAAAGGGAAGAGGACAGAATTGAGAGACAAAACCTCACAGCTGACTCCAGTGTCCCCTCTGGCATATAAAGGAAAGGGGCTACCCTGAAGTTAGGCTCATCACTGTGTCGCAAAGCTGAGCCCAGCTCATCCATTACATACCTGCAAGAATTTGGAGCAATACTACTTAAATCTTTACATATTGCATTAGGTATGCAATCTGAGCATGTTTTTCTGGTTTAGGACTTGGTGCATGCGAGGAAGCTTACAATAAAGGCAATAGCTAATTAGCATTCCTTAAGATTTTCCACTCTTACAAGATCACCTCCATGCTTCTATATCCTTTGACATGCAAAGATCAGCTTGACAATTCCCAATATCATGTGCACATGAGATAGGACAGCTCTATTTCATTTTACAGATGATAGGACTGCTCTGCTCCATCCGAGATTTCTTACTTTCAAATTTTGAAATGCAAAATATCAATGGATCACAAACATGTCTCAACCCAAACTTGAAGTGTGATGCAACTAGTAGATATCAACCATGCATATCAGTGAAACAAAAAGGCGTGAATCACCTACCACACAGAAGATTCATCTAACTTTTCCTCATCTGCAAGCCTATAGGTCATAACATATAACCACATGGCATTTACAACACGATCAACCACAGATTCTTCTGCTGTCCATTCCGGAAAACGTGGTTGAAGCATTGAATCAACCACAAGCTTTCCAGTTTCAAATATCTTTGATGCCTTGACACCATTCAGTAGGTAAATACTTGGAAGAGATTCAGCAATTTCTACTGCATTGTCTCCAAGTGGGCCGGGTATATCCACCTGGAGTAGAAAAGGGGGAAAGAAATTAAACATTTTACATGTGACAACTGCTAGCATTTTCAGTTTTCCAATTATGCTGATGAGATTGCATAACGCTCTTAAGACCACAACAGCAAGGTATGAGTTATGAAAGAGTACCTCAAGTGACTGCAAAGAGGGAAATCTCTTCAAGAGTGTGAATAGTTCACTAACAGAATCCTCCAATGGATTCCCACGAATATTCAAATGTGAAAGAAGAGGCATCTCGACCGGAGAAAATGGCTGTGAAAAGGAATCACAGTGAAGAAAAATCAACAAAAGCATTCGTCAAAAGAAAGCCATTGAAAATTACCAGTATACCCAATTGTTTGTTAGCAAGAATTCATTAGGCATAAAGTTTCCGCGTTTATTGAAATTCCTAGGCGGAATACTAGAAGAAATCCATTGGAAGTTCCATTGAAACTGTTCACATGTTCGTTTCAGAATACCCATGAGCAGAGAAATTCTTAACCTTGTTCTTCAGAGAACGGATACATCTATCTGAAAGGTCAAGAGATGTTATATTCTTCAATGGACTTTCCCCCTGATGACCAAAGTCAGGATTATCTTTCCCATATACTCCACCACAAAATCCCAAGGCCCATTCACCATAATTGGGAGTGAAACGTGAGTTGTAGATTTCCAGTCCAGGGCATCCTTTAAGAATTTGCTGTTCCATTTGGACATCACTGAAAAAAGAAAAAGGCTTCAATTTTCTATCCTTGCAAAATAAAACTGAACCATTGACAATATAATATCCAAACCTGTATTACAAAACATACCACTTCTCAACAGGATTATTGTTAAGCCAGAGGGCCCTTAGGCTTTTAAACTTAGTAAGTTCTTCTGCCACTACTCCCACGTTCTTGAGCTTGTTTCCGCACAGGCTGAGTGCCAGTAAATCCTATCAGAAAACCATCAAAACAAATTAATAAATAATGTTTATTGCCTCATCGTAAATAAAAGTGAAAGACTTGTCTACAGAGCTTCCGAGGCCAAGAGACTCGATGTTCCTCAACAAGAACCATTCTAATCACTTAAGTTATCATATACTTCAATTCAACTATCACGCAATGTCTCAAATGGAAAATACCTCGCTCTTCATTTCTAGTCCTGCACTGTTACAGTGATCAAACTCTTCAAATGATCACGAATCCAACCATGTGAATGGAATTCAAATAGAACAGATGAGCAGGAACAGCAACAAACCGGAAATTTACTAGTCACTTCGAGAGAAAGCAGCATATCATCATCAATATCCATCTCCTCAAGCTCCAACCACCTAACAACGTCGTTCCCTTTCTCTTTCGCTTCGCGAATTTCATTCTCGACCACATCTGCAGCATTCAACTTGAAATTCTCCTCTCCAACCCCTTCTGCCTCCTCGGCATCCGATGGATTCAAATCAATATCAACGCACATCAGAGCAGCCATTCTCTGAGCCAGCCCTGGCACTTCTAGAAGCTGCAAGGACGCCCTCATTCAAACTTCAGCAACGAGAGAATTGAAAAGGCAAGAGCAGCAGCCGAAAGAAAAAGTGAAGGAAAACTTCACCTGATTATAAGCATCCGGCAGACGGAAAGTCCAGGCGTGGTCGACTAGGAAGACGTCGGATTC